GAGCAGAGAGTCAATGGGACAGGGTGGATGATTTAGGGTTAGGCACAGCCAAGATGGGGACTGAGGCAATAAAGAGAGAGGAAAGAGTTTTCTGGGTAAACAGCACATGCAAACGCCTGGAGGTTAGAAAGAGTTTAGTTGGCTGGGAGGAGTAAAAAGACAGTATCAGAGTATAGTGATGGGGTGGGGAAGGGTTATGGTAGGCAGAGGTCAGATTCTTTAGGGTGGTATTCCTCAAAGTGTGGCCCAAGCACCTCTGCCTCAAAGGCTCTTGAGTGCTGATTTAGAATGTAGACTCCTGTGCCTCATCTGAGACCAACTGACTCAGAATTTCTGGAGCCTAGGAATCTGCTTTTTAACAACGTCTACAGGTGATTCTTCTGCACATGAAGATTTGAGACCCACTGATGCAGAGCCTGGTGGGTTATGAGGAAGCTTAGGTTTCATTGTAAATGTCACTGAAGGGCTATCAACAGGGGAAGGATGAGACTGATGTAATTAAGTCATGTTGCCTGCTGTGTGGAGAATGGACTGGAGGGCAACAAAGTTAAAGAGAAGACCGGGGCCAGGTGCGGTGGCTCACGCCTATAATCCCAGCACTTTGGGAGGCCAAGGCGGGTGGATCACGAGGTCAAGAGATCGAGATCATGTTGGTCAACATGGTGAAACCCCATCTCTACTAAAAGTACAAAAATTAGCTGGGCATGGTGGCGCGTGCCTGTAGTCCCAGCTACTCAGGGAGGCTGAGGAAGAATTGCTTGAACCCGGGAGGCTGAGGAAGAATTGCTTGAACCCAGGGAGGCAGAGGTTGCAGTGAGCCGAGACCGTGCCATTGCACTCCAGCCTGAGTAACAAGAGTGAAACTCCGTCTCAAAAAAAAAAAAAAAAAAAAAAAAAAAGACCAGACAGGGCATAGTGACTCATGCCTCTAATCCCAGCACTTTGTGAAGCCAAGGTGGGAGGACTGCTTGGGCCCAGAAGTTTGAGACAAGCCTGGGCAACACAGGGAGACCCCACTTCTACAAAAATTTTTTTTAAAAAATTAGCCAGGCTTGGTAGCATGTGCCTATAGTCCCAGCTACTTGGAGGCTGAGGTGGGAGAATCACTTGAACCTGGGAAGTCAGGTTGCAGTGAGCCGATCATGCCATGGCACTCCAGCCTAGGCAACAGAGTCAGACTCTATCTCAAAAAAGAAAAAAAAAGAGAGAAAAAGAAGACCAGGCAGGAGGCCATCATGACACCCTAGGAAGGGACGATGGTGGTGGCCTCGATCAATAAAATGGGCAGTGGAGATGATGAAAAGTAGATGTGTGGGGCACGTTGTTGGGGTGGTCAGCAGGAAAGAGAGAAATCAAGGCTAACTCTGAGATGCTTAGCCCCAGCAACTAGGGGGATGGTGTTGACATTCTCTGAGCTGAGGGAAGACAGGTAGAGGATCTAGGTTGGGTGGTAGTAAAAGAACCAGAAGTAAAAGAATTCCACTTTGGATGTGTGAAGCCTGACATGCCTGTGAGACATCTGAAGGGAGATGCCAGCTAACTAACTGGATATACTGGGCAGAAACTCGGAAGAGAGGTATGAGGTGGAGACATTAACATTTGGAATCGGGGGATTACAGATATTTACAGCCATGGAAATTGGTAAGATGCTGCCAAAAGAATTAATGGGCAAACAGAAAAGAACTGTTTGAAAAAAAAAAAAAAGCCACTATGCCATGTGGTGTCACTAACCTAAGTAACCTTAGGTTAGTCATTGCCCCCTCTATCCAAACTTTGGGATTGGATTAGATCACCACTAAGGTTCTCTCCCTAACATTTAGTGATGCCACTGTTGCAGTGTGTGGCTTTAACATCATGAGGCTACACCAAGAGCCAGTTGTTCAACTTGTCCTGCAATCAGAAAGGCCCTACTGGTTGTCCTATGACAGAAGCCCAGCAGCTGGGGATACCCTTTCCTCTCTAATCTCTGGAAAGACTGACCACCATGCCTGCGATTCATATTGCCTGCTGCTATATAAAAAGTTCTGGTGTCAGTCTTCATCTGCTGGGGGGAAAATCACTCTCAGAAAGAAACACCCTCTCCTGCCAAGGCTTTGGGTGGGGCTCCGAAAGTTGTTGATGACAACACTGAGTCAGCACATTCATCAGGGTCAAGCTCACAGTTGGAGAGAACTGGAAGAGGGCCTTAGTAGAGAGGAAACCTCCAGCTAAGGCCTCCTCAGTCTCAAAGGGAATGGAATCAGAACCCACAAATTCATAATGGAGATTGGCAGGTAAGCACTGGCACCATGCTCAAATCAGGGGTTTCCTCCCAAAGTGTTAGACAGTTCAGATTAGAACAAAAAAAGTACTAAGTTTATGGACTTCATTACCCCAAGAGGTCATAAAAGTTCAAAACTGGTTTTCAAAAGCTGCAAGATGGGATTATGTGAAAACAGGCTCTTTAGGGGAGCACGTCTATACCACTGAGACTATGTGAGCAGGCGTAGCTGGGTTCTCCCCGAATGGGTATGTGAGGGTACGTTAGGGTTTGTCAGGTTTCTGGGGCTGGAGGGATCACAGATCTCACCTAGTGTGACATTTACATGCATTAAGAATCAACATCCTTTCCTCTAATTGAGTTGTTTTGTTGTCTGAATCCATAGGGTTAAAGTAAGGGTACTTGGCTGGCCTCTGAAAGTATAGGACGCCTTTAGCAGCCTCTGAAAATGCATAGTTTCTTCTTATCTCTGAGGGCGAATGTACCAAGAATCTTTCTAAATTGTGTTTCCCTGTAAGACAGGTGATGACAGTACAGGCACAGATGATGGGGACTGCAGTCAAGTCGAATGGAACCCAGTGACACATAAGCCCTCCCTCCTGAGTGCTTCCTCACCAAAATCACACTTCGCTTTTTCACACAACATATATTTATTCAGAAAAAAATTTGCAATAAATTATAATAAAAAAGATGACATGAAATATAGAATCCCACTAGCAGCTTTGCTTAGTGATCAAGACGTTTTTGTGAAATATAACAACAATTACAGAATAAGAAAACAGTGAAAGGGAAACTAATGCAATGTCACCACATGGATTTGAACCGTTTCTTCCCTAGACAGCAGGTGCAGAGTTTTTCCCTACCAGGTGAATCTGAAATCCTTACTTCAGAGCAGCTACAAATTAATACGTTAGAGGACTTGGGAATTACAGGTTGGGTGCTGGAATAGGCATGGCAGGGATGCAGATTCTTCTGTCTGGGTCTGTGTCTTGTCTCCTCTACCTAGAGATTGTCAAAAACTCTCAACCCTGTATATGCTCCAGGATGAGCTGAAAAAAACGCTGAGGCAGTACATCAACTTAGTGTTTTGACCTGATGGAGAAACAGATCAGATACTGCACATGTGTAGCAGAGCCTCCACTAACCACACCCTTGATCACCCAAAGATCCCAGGTCAGCAATATGCTGGAAAACAAGCCCAGGAAAGGTATTTCCCTGGGGTATGACCTGACCCCAGTGTCTATAATCTGCCTCTTTTTGGGATCACTTTCTGGCCTTGCGGAGATGACTAATCTGTTCTGCTCTCAGTCATCCATTAACTAAGTTCAACACCCAGCCCCTGACCTATCGTATCTCCAGCTCTGTGGCAACAGTACTTTGACTCCTATTGCTTTAACTCTCAATCAGGAAAGGGTTTAGCCATATTGCAGAATCTGTACCTTTTTTTTTTTTTGCTACAAAACTTGACTTTGAAGAGGTGGGGGAAATAATTCACTGGTGGTGCCTTGGATATGCTAAAACATCACGGAGTCAATGCCCAGGATCGCACAGAGAGCCTGTAGGTTATGCTCCTTGCATTTAATGTTAACAGGCAAAGGTGGTTGTAACAAAAGAAAACCAGGAGGAAGCCAACTGCATCAGGCAGTTTTGCAGTCAGTGGTTGGTGGCTTGTTTGTCAACCAAAATAGATTAATTTTTTTTAAAAGGCTGTACCACAGAGCTTGAATAAATGACAAGCTCAGATAATCATCTTGGATGGGAGAGGTAAGGTGCCTGGTTGGTCCTGTTGGCCAGTCTCTTTACAGAACACTGGATATGGTGACTGAGAGCCAAGAGGAATCTCTAAACCTTTTACGTGCAGGAGCTGGTTGTGGAGCCCAGAGTCAGTCCTGCTAAGGGAGGAGGTGACATCTGCCCTTACTACTTCAGAAGACCAGAGAATGAATTCTAAGGGTCATCCGCAATACCTTTGCTGTGGGAAGGAACAATAGCTCTAGATGGGCCTGGCTGAGATGCAAGACTCCCTCTACTATGGGGCCAGTGTTGCTCTGGAGATAGATGTCTAGGCAGGATATGGGTCTCACAGACACCCAGGATTAGTCCTTGTGTAAAATTTGAATAATAATGGGAAAAGGATAGTGGGAAGCAGGACCTATCAAACATGAATGCTCTCACTCTTCAGATACTCAAAGTGCTTCCATTCTGATTGTGATTCTCTCACATCGATGGGATGCCATCTCTAATAGTTCCTAGAGTTATGCTTCTAAGTGTGATCTGAGATAAGAGAATATGGTTCCACCCAGTGCAGAGCCAAGAAAAGGCCAATATTACAGAGACATAAAGACGCCATTGTAGTAGAAATGCACACACGCATGGAACATCTGCACGCAGACAGTGAGTTCACTGTTGAGGACACCCAAGGAGTCACTAGCCTCACTCAGACTTCGTTCAAAGTGACAGAACGAGGGGAGTGGAGTGCAAGGGAGTGATCCGGGAAGGGGTGGGTCAAAAGTGCATTATCCAAAGGACTCTAGACAAGTCTCAGCTACAGCAAGTAGTGCTTGTAGGCCTAGAATGGGAACATCTCAGAATCTAGGCCTAGGGTACTAAGGACGATCGTGACAATTGGGTAGGAGGGCAACAAACACATCCCTAGTAAAGGAGTGTAATTACAGATCTTTTTGCCTTATAAAGAGAAAACACAAAAACACCAAAATACGGTAACTTTGGCTTGGCAATATAAGTCTAAAAGTATTTTACTATGCAGGATATGGTAAAGGAGGGGTTAGGAAATGCTCTTCCTTTTTACTATAAACAGAACTTGAAATTCTGCAATAGACCCTTCCCGTGGCATGACTTTTTAAATCATTCTGAAATACTTGGAGCCCGATATCGTCTGCTTCTAGAATCTCAGAGAACAGTAAAAGCCTTAGTCTTCTTCGCTCCCAAGCAGAAAGCCCAGAAGGAACTGAATAGCACGCTTGCGGTCACTTGGAGCCTGTCTTGCCATAAGGTTGGGTGGAGGCCTCAGGAGAAGACTAGAGAAGAGAGTAGCTAGAAGGCGAGAGAAAGACAAGCGGAAACTTTTGTCAGACATAACCTAAGCAAAACCTCATGGCTGGAGGGCCTGGGGACAAGGACTGTAGTTGGGAGGTGACTGCCATGTGCCTGCACATGCAGTAAGGTATACACTGTATGCAATGCACACAGAGTATTCTTAACGAACACCCCATGCAGCGTGAAGCACTCTTACCGATCATGTTGGGATTGACGCTATTGTATTCAGAGAATTTTAAGAGTTCTCGAAGGAATGCCATCAGGTAACGGAAAACATTTCTATGGCATCTCGGAAGCTGGGAGATCACCTGTTTTAAAAAACAGGGGTAGGCCGTGAGAAAAACAGGTGGAAGATGGGAGTAAGAAGAATTTACAGCTGCCATAATAGTCTATAATGCAACCCTTGCAGGACCCATTTCATCTGTCTAAACTTCTGTTGTCTCCTCATGGCCAACACGATACCTTCCAAATTATAACTTCAAAGAAAGAACGGCTGTACTGTTTGATTCCCGGCCACTCAATGACCAGGCCATGTGGTCACTACACATTCACACACACACACCCTGCTTCACAAGCAGGTTGGTGTTCATCTGCTCTTTTCCCATTTCCACAGGCATGTATAGCCATGGCACCTACCAAGCTGATTGGTTTTCTTTTCCTTTTTTTTGAATGGTTTTCTTGACAATGTCACTTAGCATGGATGGGGACTCCTCCCAATACTCACTAGTCCATTTCGCAGGTACTCTCAGCTATTGTGCATCAAAATTATTTCAGGATTAAAAACACACACCAAGAAGAGACAAAGAAGAAAGGCTCCCAAGTGTCACCCATCCTTCCTGGTAATGTCAGCCAGAATTCCATGTACAATTAGCTTCACCAATTTACCCCAGAGTAGAGGGATCCACCCCACTATCGTTTCTGTAAACAGAAATAGGCCAATGGAAAAAAGATGGCAAATATCATGGGAAATAACCTATAATATAAAAGTGGCAACTCTCAATGTTGGTGTCCTGCCATTAATAACAAATCCAGACCCATCCTACCAGACAGCTGGCTGCCTATCTGGCTCTGTAAAACTGACGACTTCTTTATGAGGGAACCTGCGTCAAACGTATCCTCAGATCAGTAGAACCCACCTGTCGGCAGATCCGGGGATCATGAGCAGAGTCAAGGCATCGCTGATACAGTTCGTAACAGATGACTGGCTCTGGTAGGGCTTCCAAGAAAATGAGCAGTGCTTCAGCCACAGAGTGGTTGCTGCCAGCTGAATCAACTTCAGTCAAGGGAAAGGGGCTCCAGGAGACAGGCCACACAGAGATCCAACTGGCTCCTTTCCTCAAGCTCCTGCAGGGACTTCCTCTTATTTAGGGCACACTGGATCCTAATGGGGGTTTGATATTTCATTGGTTCAAGCGCCCTGCTGCTGAGTTGTTATGGAATTGGTCAAAGACTCTTGGCAGCTCTGGCCCAGCTTCAGAGTCAGGGGAATATAGCCTGCAGAATGACAGTTCACACTGGACCAGTCCTATAAACCAGCTACCCATGTTTCCCATGTCTCTCCCTGCCTTGTCAACAGTACGGGTGGTGGCAGGAGTAACTGATCACCTCAAGGAGAACAGTACCAGTGTTGTGGCTTCTATGCCCCATGCTTTTTAAAAATCACTGTTATCTACCCCTTGCTTCCTTTTAGTAAGAGCTAGATATGGAAAGAGGTCAAAAGTTCCTGAAAGGAAACGAGAAACAACTGGATAGTCAGTGGTTATCTTATAATAAATTACAAAGACAGTAAATATAGAACCACAAAAATCAAATGTAGGTGTGAAGAAGAGTTTGACCAAGTACTCATCCAGCTTTTTCAGCTTTGGTTGCAAAGGATACGGATTGTCTCAGGAATGCTGGTATCCAGACAATCAATGATCTGCTGGAGCTCCTCCTGCATTCCAGGGGTCTGGAACAGGTCCTCCTACCAAAGAAGTCAGAATGAAGGGAACAGGCATGGTAATCACTCCTGAGATTATGATTATACCCAATGATCAGAAGAGCAGCAGGAAGCAAAAGGGAAGGGTGGTATGTGTGTTAGTAATTACAAATGGGGGTGTGAAAATTGCACATTTTTCCTATATCATCTCTCTAATCCATGTGAAACATTATTTCAAATAAGAAAATGATCATTTCAAAAGTTGTAGCCTATACCTTATCAGGCAGGGGACTATATGGCTAGATCAGGAAACCAGGTATTCTACTTCTAGCCTCTTTTTAAATTTTTTTATAGAGGCGGGGTTTCACCATGTTGCCCAGGCTAGTCTTGAACTCCTCAGCTCAAGCAATGCGCCCATCTCGGCCTCCCAAAGTGCTGGGATTATAGGCATGAGCCACCATGCCTGGCCTACTTGGAGCCTCTTGACAAGAAGTAGAAGGCAGAGTCCAAACAGAATAACCACATTCAAATGCTAGTACTACTGAATGCTGGGAAAGAAGGAAATCACATGCTCATACTAAACCTTGCTTTCAAGTTATATTACTCTTCAGTAGGTTAAGAAAACATTACCTTTCAATTTAGTCCCAAGAATTGTCTCTTTTGGTGGCAAGTGAGTTGGGGTGGCATTTTAGATAGGATTTAAAAGAAAAATTAGGACCAAATTAAGAAAATGGGTTTAAAACCTGCTTTGGATTTTAAGATCTCTAATGCCTACATGACAGCCAAAGTAGACATTATAGACTCAGGTGTGCAGCTGCCAAGGAAAAAGAGCAGCCAAGAGACAGGTGCTCTTAATTTGGCCTTGGCTCTGCCATAACTAAACTTCGGCCTTGGTCTTAGTTAATAACTTAGCTTTGCATGCTTCAGCTGTGACATCTGTGATTAGGGACACTTCCACTCCCCCAGCTGATTTGACAGTGCCACTGTGTGCAGGTAGCTTGGGAAAGTTAAAAGCACTATGCTGATGTGAGGTGTTATAATTTCCTATAGTATTTACACACCTTCTGAAGTTGTAGGGAAGGTCTACTCTCACTTACCTGGTGACAGGCGTATTTGAATAGGTGATCTACTAGAAGCCAGATCTCTTTGGGGACCTGAAGGGGTCTCTCGCTGGCACCTTCATCCAAAGGAACCTTTTGCAGAAGGGATTTCTCCTAATAGATGAAAAGGGATAAGAATCAAAGGGGTCTCAGAATAAAGACTTTGGTGTGTAACTTAAAGCCTTTCAAATTCTGGTCATGCAGGTACAATGTGATCTTCATCTCTTAAGATTTTCCATTTCTTTTCACTGGGGACACCCCTGGTCAGAAGGCACTTGATAGTGGGTCCCACAGTTAAAGGATCTCCTTTCCTAAATGCTTCACTTAATTGTTCTGCATTTCATTTGAGTTTATAATGTTTATTACATGGATGCCTTGTGTTTAAATCCCTTTGAAGGTGACACTGAGAACCAGTGCTCCAGTGATACAGTCACAGTGGAGTCCATACAGCACTGGTGACTTGGGGACCATTACAACTGTCCATATAGTACTTTGAGAGACCAGGGTCTACACTTAGATTTTTGTTGATTTCTAACTTACTCTTCCTTTGGGTCTTACCACAGATACTGTTGTTTTCAATGCTGATTTAAATGAGCTTCTTTGGTCCTCAGGAATTAAAGACAACTCTCCCCAACATTAGACCCACATATGTGAATACTTCAGGCTTGATGGAACTTCTAATCTTCAGACACTAAAACTCATAAGCCTTAAGGTCCAAAAATAGTAAACTGAATACAGCTAACCAAGAGGCAGAAATACCATGAAAAGTCTAAGGTCTGAGTCCAGAAGTTGCGGTTTCTAGGAATAACTCAGCAAAGATTCTACGAGCTTTTACTCCTTTAATCTATCTTTCTACTATCTGTTACATTCTTCTGAAAGAATGTAAGAGAAAAACCCAGAAGTGACATAAAAGAAGTGACATAAATTAAACCAATCGCTATATGTGAATTGGAAATGGCCAGGAAATAAACTCAGTTATCTTATGTTCATGTAGTCAAATATAAATTACACGAAAAAATGTTTGAAATAGTAAAGGCATCTGAAGGCAGCCTTCAGAAAAATCCCAGTGGAGAGAACCCTGACCGATGTTTTTGCATTCTCCTCCCTCCCCTGCCTCCGGCTAGAGGTCATATATATTCTGTATGTTTAACTAAGAAATTCTTGCTCAACATTGTGCAACTTGTAAATTCCATCCACAACCCCCAGTCACGCAGCTTCAAAAGAAAAAAAAAACGAGCATGTCACTACTTTCCCAGAGACCACATTGCACTACAGCCGAGCTGAGGTCTCTTCTTAACATTGTGTTCTTTAACAAGCACTGATGACCTTTAAAAGCTGCTGTGTCTTTCTAAGGGAATAAGAAAGAGAAGGGAGTGTGACAGTTGGTTACCATTTAAAATCTTTTTTTTTTTTTTTTCACATTCAGTTTGCTTCCTTTCTTTCCCTGGGATTCTATCACTTGATATTCATGTTCCTAACAGTTGCCAGAACGTCTATCAGTGGCTCATCCATTTATTTCTTTCCAGTTGCAAGTATCAAATCCAAGCATCCACATGATATTTGAGCCAAAACACTGTCCATCACACACTCTGCTAACTCTCTGGACCAAATGCAGCACATGTACTGACTCTTTAGCAGATACCTCCAAACTTGCCATATAGAAATTATGCTGCACTGATTCATGTACTTTTTAAAAAGTCTGACATCCAACTGGAGCTTATCCCGTACTAAGGCATTAAGGCAACACAAAGCACCGTCTAAGATAAAAAGACAGAACATGGACTGCTCTTAACAGGGAAGAGCTAGGAAGCACAGCTGTCTCAAACCTTGGTGGTTTAAAAAGGTTAATAAAATGTCAGTAGATTATATACAGCATCTACTATTCATTTTCAAATACCTGTATGATAATGTGAAATGCCACAGTTGTGTCTCCGAAGTCTAGAGAAAGATCGTGCACAAGAAACAATACTTGAAAAAGTTCACAAATTATCTTGAACTCTAAATTTTCAAAGGAAAACCAAGGTACTTTGTCTTCTTTCAAGAAGACACATTCAGCGCCTGATAAGCACACACCTCGTCACCTTATTTACTGTTTTTTTGTTTTTTTTTTTGAGATGGAGTTTCACTCTTGTTACCCAGGCTGGAGTGCAATGGCGTGATCTCGGCTCACCGCAACCTCCGCCTCCTGGGTTCAGGCGATTCTCCTGCCTCAGCCTCCTGAGTAGCTGGGATTACAGGCACGCGCCACCATGCCCAGCTAATTTTTTGTATTTTTTAGTAGAGACGGGGTTTCACCATGTTGACCAGGATGGTCTCGATCTTTTGACCTCGTGATCCCCCGTCTCAGCCTCCCAAAGTGCTGGGATTACAGGCTTGAGCCACCGTGCCCGGCTATTTACTGTTAATAACTAAAGCATGAACAGTATACCATCCCCATCATCAAAATGCATTAAATTCCACCAAGTGGGGAGGTTACATGACCTCAGCAAGTTTTTCAATCTTTCTGGGACTTGGTTATCTCATCTATTAGAATGGAGAAAATATCTGTCTCAAGGTAGAGGGCTGAACCAGATGATCTTTGATGATCTTGATCAGGTCTACGATTCTACGCTATGCTCGCTTTCTTGATCATATCTGTGTATTTTTCTGAAATTAACTGCTATAATCATTCATTTCAAATCATTCTTAATGCAACAGAAAGCTACTTCTTCTGGTTTTATTGTCACTGGAAATGGAGAACAACTAACTGGTACCCTACTCCAATTCATGTTCAGATACATCAAGACGACTCTGTAGTTCTCAATTCAAAAATACAAATCTGGAATCTTGAGTCCTACTGCTTTTATGTACCGAGTCTCACTGACTTGACTCATAGAGTAAATACCTTTCCTGTACTTCAAACACACTTAAATACAGCTGGCATGACTTTAGAGAAGTCTCACCAAGTCAGAGGCCTCTGATAAGGGAACGCCTAGGGACAAATTCCAGGGACACAGTTAAGTGCACAAGGAAACTCTCATAACCACCAATGGATTGCATTACCTTTTCTAGGAAGCTGTCTTCTTCCTGAGAGCGGAGCAGGAAAAGAAAGCCATTGACAGACAGAATATGATTAGAATTAATTTACAGAATTAGAAACAGATCAGTATTAGAACTCACTATCTTACCAGATATACATGCTTTAAACAGCTTTGAATTCTTCAAATAAATTATGATTGTTGAAAATGAAATACATTCTTCACATGCAAAATTCTCTACAATACATTTTAAATTTTTGTGCAGTTTATTGAGAATATCACTCAAGAAACGTGTAGTTCTAGACTTCTGTGCACTTTGGCAGCTACCAACTGACCCAACCAAATGCCCCTGATGTCTCTTATTTGTCTCTTGTTATTTGTCTGCTGCTTGGAGGCAGATGCATTGAGGTATATACCTCAATGGAAGAATGTGGTTATCACTCTACTTTCCTTTTTCATTCTTCTCACCGCAGCCAGCCTCCTAAGCACCATTCCAGATTCCTTTCTATATCCCCGTACCCACTCCCCTCCTCAAAGGCCCCCAGAGTGCCCAGATTTGAAGGTTCTTCTGAACTATAAATGAATTTCACTTCAGACCTTAGTGGATCCAAAGATCCATCATTATCCCCTATTTTTATTTTCCTGTTGGGTATAAGAGAAAAAAGAGAAGCAGGGGATAGGTAAGAAGGTATCTTTTTTTTTTTTTTGAGACAGAGTCTCACTCTGTCTCCCAGGCTGGAGTGCAGTGGCCCGATCTCGGTTCACTGCTACCTCTGCCTCCCAGGTTCAAGCAATTCTCTGCCTCAGCCTCCCAAGTAGCTGGGATTGCAGAAACCCACCATCACACCAGACTAATTTTTGTACTTTGAGTAGAGACAAGGGTTCACCAGCGTGGCCAGGCTGGTCTTAAACTTGTGACCTCGTGATCTACCCACTTTGGCCTCCCAAAGTGGTGTAATTACAGCTGTGAGCCACCACGCCCAGCAGCCTATCTTTTTAATCTTCCTTTTTTTTTTTTTTTGAGATGGAGTTTCACTCTTGTTACCCAGGCTGGAGTGCAATGGCACGATCTCGGCTCACCGCAACCTCCGCCTCCTGGGTTCAGGCAATTCTCCTGCCTCAGCCTCCTGAGTAGCTGGGATTACAGGCACGCGCCACCATGCCCAGCCAATTTTTTGTATTTTTAGTAGAGACGGGGTTTCACCATGTTGACCAGGATGGTCTCGATCTCTTGACCTCGTGATCCACCCGCCTCGGCCTCCCAAAGTGCTGGGATTACAGGCTTGAGCCACCCCGCCCAGCCCTAATCTTCCTGTCTTTTATGCTGTTATTATAATCGAATAATAACAGCAGCAATGATAACTACCACCACTGCTTACGGAGCATCTGTCATATACCAGGAACTGTGCAAAGTGCTTATATACAGTCATTTAATCCGTACACATGTGCAAAGCAGGTATTATTCCCAACTTACAGATGAAGAAACAGAAGCTCTGAAAGCTTAAATTATTTGTCCAAGGCCACACTTACTATTAGGTAGTAAGTGGCTAAATCAGGATTGGATCCCAGGTCTGACCAATTTGACAGTCACTATCACTATGTTCCCTTAGACAATTCAAAAAGGACAATGTGAATGCTTCCTGGACAGAGAGGTAGGGGAAAACTGTGAGAATATATTCTCCATAACAGGCTAAGGACAGTTAAGTGCGGAGAAACCCCACTTAAAAGACAGCATGACTAATGGAAAGAGTATAGGCACTGGTGTTAGATAGGCTTGGGTACAAGTCTTTGTTATACCTCTTAGCAATTTTGTGTAGCCCTCACCCAAGTTACCAAACTTTATAGAGCCTCAGTTTTTTCATCTCTAAAACAGGGATATTTACCTTGAAGCAGCATAAAACAAGGAGCAACGGGGCAGTAGGCCAGCAGAAGGTCTGAGGCCCTCAAAGTTCCGCATACCCCCCAAGTGACTCCCAACCTGGATTGTTTCCAATCTGACCATGGATCACTAAAGCACTCAAGTCTAAATTACATGTCTCAGTTCTGATAGGTAAAAGGAGAAATACCAATCTTACTGTCTGAGATGCATGGGGGCTGGGAGTAGGAAGGGGGAAGAGGAAAAGTATGTGCTCCTTGGGATTCCAAGTGGTAATACTGAATGCATTTCCCTCAAACTAATGTTATCCATGGTGATTAGGTGTTTCAGTATAGGTAGATACTTTACAAATTAAACATGCCGTGGTGGGTTTACCCAGACTCTTAAATATCACATGAAATAAAGTAATTAGAATAAGTGCTTTATAAGGTATTTATAGTATTGTGATTATAATACCTTTTAATGTCAAGTTAATTCTGAGTGCCAAACGTCCAATTTGATGCAATTTTGGACTAGAACCTCTTGTAAAATTTAGGACTTGTTATCAAATAGACAGTCCACCTGACACACTTTATATTTTCCTCCCATGAATATGTGATACATGATATGAATAAAACTAGACAGAGACTGTGTATACTAACCTATCAAACTAGGCTCTCAAAAACACTTTTCTTTGCACAGCAGCCATTCTCTGGTACAAGGCATTGTGCTAAAATGCCTTTGCAGGGGAAGGCATGAGAAATGGATACATAAAGGAGAAAGACCTGGTTTGTCCCTGACTCTGGTTTGCAACTGAGTTGGGCTGAGGAGTTCTAGAGTTTACAGACTGCTATTGTTATAACTTATGAATATGAGTTCTCAATAAATCACTACTAGCCCTTTAAAAGACTCACAGAATTTTAGAGATGGAGAGATAATATTACAAGTGGAACAGGCAGAAATAAACAAAAGGCACAGAGATGGTAAATCACAAATTATGATTAGGAAGAAGTTAGTCATCTCTTTGTGGGAGGCATGGAGAATGCCGAGAAAAACAGTGGGAAATAAATCTGAAAAGGTATGTTGAAGCCAGACTTGGGGGGACCTTGCATAACAGATTAAGAAATTTGGACTGTATTCAGCAAGCATGGGGGAGCCACTGACTACCTTTAAGCAAGGAAGGGATAGGCCCCAAAGCAGTAGTGCACAAAGATCAATCTGACAGCTCTGAATAGGAAAAATTGAAGGGGGTGGGGGGGCAGGAGGGGAGGGAGGGACGGAGAGAGAGAGAGAGAGAGAGAGACAGACAGACAGACAGACAGACAGACAGACAAAGGGATCATGCAAAGGCTACCGAGGTAGGGCAAGCAGAAGAAGGTAAACAACTAATAAAGGAAAATGTGTGTGTGTCTGTGTGTCTGTGTGTCTGTGTGTGTATATGCGTAAAATTTGTAAGTATATACATATACAATTTGTAAGTATATTAAAGGTTATATTATATATAATACATATAATAAAAGGTTATCATATGTATTACATATAACCTTTAATATACTTACAAAGTATATATGTATATACCTTTTATTATATATATTATATGTAATATAATATTCATTCAAATGAACGAATACAAGAGAAAACGGAAAGAAGAATCAAAAGGACTTTGATTAAATACTGATGGAGGGTTAAGAGATTTACTTCTCTAGGCATAAGCATAAAGAAAGAACATAGAAATTACATTGAATTCAACCCTAGTCTCAATTTTGAAAATAGAAATATCACTTAACCTTTATTAGTAAACAGCTTACTCCTATGGTAATCCTAAGGTTTCTACTATGAATCACTTAGTTCAACCAATTTTAAAGAGCAGAGATGTCCACTCTCTGCAAAAGGCTATACAAGGGTTACATTTAAAATTAGTTCAACCATTGGGGAAGACAGTGTGGCGATTCCTCAAGGAACTAGAAATAGAAATTCCATTTGACCCAGCAATCCCATTACTGGGTATATATCCAAAGGATTATAAATCTTTCTATTATAAGGACACATGCACACGAATGTTCACTGCAGCACTGTTTACAATAGCAAAGACTTGGAACCAACCCAAATGCCCATCGATGATAGACTGGACAGGGAAAATGTGGCACATATACACCACTGAATACTATGCAGCCATAAAAAATGATGAATTTGTGTCCTTTGTAGGGACATGGATGAACCTGGAAACCATCATTCTCAGCAAACTGACACAAGAACAGAAAATCAAACACCACATGTTCTCACTGAGGCAGGTGTCAAACAATGAGAACACATGGACGCAGGGAGGGGAGCATCACACACTGGGGTCTGTCGGGGGGGAAATAGGGGAGGGACAGCAGGGGGTGGGGAGTTGGGGAGGGATAACATTGGGAGAAATGTCAGATGTAGGTGATGAGGAGGAAGGCAGTAAACCACATTGCCATGTATGTACCTATGCAACAATCTTGCATGTTCTTCATATGTACCCCAAAACCTAAAATGCAATAAAATATATATATATATATATATATATATATATATATATATATATTTTTTTTTTTTTTTTTTAAAGGGGGAACTTAGTTCAAGATTTTCCCAGTGGGACAACACTGGCACATAGCAAATGTAATGCAAATCATTCTTCGCCCCACCATTCACCCTCAGAAAAATGTTCTCTGTGGTAAATGCAGCTAAAATATAATAAAAGAGTCAATTAGAGGTGGAAGATCCAAATTTAAAAATAAAAAGCAGAAAACTGAATGGAAAATGAAGTTCTAAAAAGGATTAGATCATATGAAATAGAGAAGAAACACAAGCCATATACTTAACAGAGTAAGAAATGGATGGTCAGATCAGTAAGACAAAGTAAACACATAGTGAAAAAAACACTATGGACAAATTAACAAGTTATTCCTGTTATTTCAAATTTTTGGTACTGTTCTCCCAACAGACATATCCCCAAGCAAATATAGTTTCTCTACCCACCCTTCAACTTTTTTCATCTCTGTATTTACAACTTAGCCAGATCTGGCAAGTTCAAATCTTGTCTCTTTTCAATTAGTCTATTCTACAAGGAACATCAGAATGTTGTTTCAACTATATCAATTTGCAACCTCATACTAATCAGCAAACTCTTCTGATGGTTCTAGATACCCTCTGGCTCAAGTATAAGCTACCTAAGGACTTCAGGACTCTCTACCACCTGCCCCATTCTCCCTAACCAGCTTCATACATTCTTATCCTTATTCTTCTCTTGTCCCAGGGAAATCTTACAACTTTTCATACATGGTCTTTTCACTTTCACCTTCTACCCTTTATTCAAGATGTCCCTTATGCCTGGAAGAGCCTGCTCACTCAATATATTAAAACATGTTTCCGCCGGGCGCGGTGGCTCAAGCCTGTAATCCCAGCACTTTGGGAGGCCGAGGCGGGTGGATCACCAGGTAGAGAGATCGAGACCATCCTGGTCAACATGGTGAAACCCTGTCTCTACTAAAAATACAAAAAAAAACATTAGCTGGGCATAGTGGCTCGTGCCTGTAATCCCAGCTACTCAGGAGGCTGAGGCAGGAGAACTGCCTGAACCCAGGAGGCAGAGGTTGCAGTGAGCCGAGATTGCGCCATTGCACTCCAGCTTGGGTAACAAGAGCGAAACTCCATCTCAAAAAAAAAAAAAAACAACATGTTTCCTAAGTACTTGGATTTGACTGAAAATAATTCTGTAACTAATCCCAAACCACCTCCCTAGATCACTTTATTCTTATTTGCTAAATTTATTTCTCAGTCATGTTAATGTTACATGTATCAAATATTCATTAAAATGAAAACAGGCTGATTCTCATCTCTACAGGGATGAGCTGGTCATCAGTAAGCTTTTATAGCATATAAGGGCTTGAATAAACAACATAGGGAAGGAATCTATTGTTAATACAAACTATAGCCTGCATAATACTAACTTTAAATGACTTTCCAAAATACTGACTTACCAAGCACACTAGACATTAGCCAGTAAAGGTGGTTAACGTTCAGATTATCTTTAACCAAACTCCCTGTTAACCATGACTTAAAATTTAGCCATATTGTACATGCAAGTATACTTTCATCACCACTAAATTATAGGAACTCACATAAACCCCATAATACTTTGTGTCCAGTGTGTAATGAATCAATATTGATGATTATTTGCTACTTAATATTCTAGTTAACACAACAGAAAAATCTATCTTAATTCTGAAAAAGAATAAAGATGATTACAAATGGTAGACTTTCATCTGTTTCCTACCTTTGCTAATCCCAACTATTCTAGGAGTGGCAAAGTCACTGTCATGAAAAGGGCAGGAAGGATGAAAAATAATTATGTCAGTTATTTCACTCTGCATTTGGTGGGAAAAGGATCTTTCTAAAACAGGACATAGACAACACATACATTAAACTCATTTCTGGCTTCACCAACATTTTCGAGTAAATACAACAGAGGGCAGGTACCATTACTGATAGCATCATCTCACGAGATTTGAAATATGATATTGCGTTTTAGGGGAAAAAACATGAAAATTATACCTGAGGAATCATTTCCGAAGGTTAAAATCAAGTCACAACAGAGTGGGAAGGTATTAAAGATGGGGTACTAATTACTTTCGATTTCTTGCTTATTCTTCTACACTAATGCAGGTTGAGTACCCCTAATCCGGAAATCCAAAATGCTCCAAACTCTAACCTTTTTGAATACTGTCATGATGATCAAAGGAAATGCTCATTGGAGCATTTCAGATTTCCAGATTAGGGAAGCTGAACTGGTAAGTATATAATGCATACATCTGAAATCTGAAAAAGATTGAAATCTGAAACACTTTTCGTCCCAAGCATTTTGGATAATGGATAATCAACCTGTATAGATAATTTCCTCATCAATGAGATATAGGAATTAATAACACTGAAATGCAACAGACTGTGAAAAGAAATCAGAACCCTAAATCCTATAAAATAAAAGCTTTAAAGGAAAAATGACATACAATTTAATAAAAACTCAGAAATTATGTAATTAAAAATGACCAGGGTTCTATTATTTTAACCCTGAATCACTCGTACACAAAAAGGAAAAAGGCTTCCCGCCGGGCGTGGTGGCTCATGCCTGTGATCCAGGGGAGGCCGATGCAGGCGGATCACCTGAGGTCAGGTGTTTAAGACCAGCCTGACCAAGATGGCAAAACCGCGCCTCACTAAAAATACAAAAAAATTAGCCCGGAAAGGTGGCAGGTACCTGTAATCTCAGCAACTTGGGAGGTTGAGGAAGGAGAATCACTTGAACCCGGGAGGCAGAGGTTGCAGTCAGCCGAGATCGCACCACTGCACTCCAGCCTGGGTGACAGAGCGACACTCCATCTCAAAAAAAAAAAAAAAAAGAAGGCTTCCCAAAGAGCTATTCATTCCTTTAATGATTTTGGTTACTTTCTATTCATGGGCAAACATGGTAGAATTACCTGATACTATACTTTACATAAAATAAAAACTTTATGCCGGTTGAGCCTCTTCTGGCCAATCCCAGAATTAATATGAAAAACTGCAAAGTTTTTCATATTAATGGCAAAGATATTCTAATACCTTCACTGACTTCGACCAAAAATAAGGATAGGTTCCAGTTTACACGAGGTAAGGGGGAAGAAGAGAGTATAAAAGGGATAAGTCTAAAAAGAAAAAAAAGAAGAAACCAGACGAATGTAGGACATGGTGGAGCCTTGACTGGACATTTGTACTGGACTCTTAAAAAAGTCAATGTCACTAAAGAAAGTAAGTGGGAACTGTACTACTCCAATAGAGACTTCAGAGACCTCACCAAATACTACATGAACCCAACTGGATTTTGGTTTAAAAAAAGGTGTAACAGAAATTCTTGGGACAGCTGAAGAAATCTGAATATGGACCGAATGTTAAATGATACTATGGATTACTATTAGTTTTCTTATACATAATAATGGTATTGTGCTTAAGTTTCTCCTTTCTGTTAAGAGATGCAGTCTGAAGTATTTAGTAGTAAACTGACATATTACCACTTAATTTTCATGACACAGCAAAAAAATCTGTGTGTATATACGTACAGAAGGCATGTGGGGGTGTGTTGTACTGTTCTTTCCATTTTTCTGCACATTTGACATTTTTCTTAAGAAAAAGCTGGGACAAAGAAAGCTGGGAAATGATGTTTGAGATGAAGGAAAGGGGGCAGGAGAAATAAGGAAAAGTAACTTCATCCACAATGTATTTTAAGAGGTGAAATACTAAAATTTGAAAGACAGAAATATAATGTTAGGAGAGAAACAATTATCATGAAAAACAGCAGAATGGTAGGATATGAATTTCTGAAGAAAATGGTTCTCTCTCAAACAGAGGTAATATACTCAGTCACAAGGGCCCTGGGGAAATAAGTATAATTCCAAGAAAGAATGCCAGGGCTGGACTCAGTGTTTTAATCTGCTATCTGAGTCACAGCTGAAACAATTCCATGGCAACAGAACAGATCGGACTCAGACAAGCCAGAGAAGCCTGCCCACTGGTCTAGACCTCCGTGCTAGATACGATCACTCGCTCTGGCCTAAAGGCCATGTGAATACTAACAGTAAGGACAACGTATGCTGTCACCTCACCTAATTTTCTTTGGTAAAAGACCAAGAATATATTTTTGTAGCCCAAAGAGATCTGCATACAATCCAACAATATTTTCATTTAAAAGGAAATTTCTTAACACAGTGAACTTTATTGCTAAATCAATTTATGTTACTGAAGATAGTTAAGTACTTCCTTCATAAAATTATTAATATTACAGCTTGGCTTGGGGAGAGATGGGAAAATCAACCTCCTTTCCTTTCTTAAGCACGTCACATTAAATAAGTATCAAATTTCAATGTACAATATAAGTATCTGGAATGCGGATAAAATGCAGATTTGTAAGCTCCACATCCTGAGATTCTGATTCTCTTGCCAGACATGAGGATGCCTGTAATAAGCTCCCCAGGGATTCTGATTTAGGTACTCCAGGGTTCCGGTAGAGTTCTATGCTTCCATAAGCAGCGAAGTTTGACTCTGATTAGATATAATGTGGTGTTAGTAAGGAATACTAAACTGGGAGTCAGGAAATCTGGGATTTGTTACTAACTGATGGTATTCGACTTTAAGCAAGTCAATGTCTCTGTGCCTCAGTTGTCTCATATGCTCTAGGAGGATAATTCTGCCTGCCCCACTTAGCATCCCTCACGTACATGCTAATTTATACAAAAGTGACTGAAGAGTATGAAGAGCTTAACAAATAAGTATTCTGTCTTTGAGAGGGGATTCTTTAATCTTATTTGGTGAGCTTAGTATTATCTATTGTACTCCCAACAAGAGCCAACTGCAGATTAGTCCCCCCTCTTTCCTTAGGCTTAACCTAATCAAAACAGTGCTAGAGTAAAGTGACATTCTTATCATTTGACATCCCCCACAGCCAAAAGAAGACAGCAAGCACAAAGATAGTGAAGACATCACTTAAGTATTATGAAAATTAAATGTAAAAGAGGTGTATGTCTTGGGACAGTTCTTACCAAGTCTATGAGTTTGGTAACAGGAACTTCTCGGATTGGTCTTTTCATGCGGCACAAAGCCTCTAAAGATGTACCAAAACAGCTTGGGAGGTAATTTCCACTGATTGTCAAGAAGTAATCTTTGCCTCGATCCAGGTGAAGGACAAGAATATCTTCAATCTTATCTTCCCCTGAGTTCAAGATGGTTACAGAGTCTTTGCTGACATACACATCAAGAGAAATGTCCACTGTCTCATCTGAAATGTAAGAGATGACACATGGTAATAGAAAAACTTCCAGTGGGAAAGCAAAAAGAGTATAAGAACCAACAGAAAAGTGTCCTCTAAAAAAATCATTAAGCAATGATGGGGAAGAGATAGGACACACAATAGAGGTACAACCAATATGACAGTAAAGGTAAGAGACATGTGGTTAGAAAACAGGAAGTTATACCAAGGATGGGAGTCATGAGGACATCAAGCAGAGACAATGGTAAAGGGAAAACTCACTTGGCTCCAAGTAGCCCTCAAAGGGTTCAGCCCGAAGCCATGGCTTGCAGTACTGGCTGTCATTAAGCTTAGGGATGAAAGAAAAATGGCAGGGAACCTGTCCATTGTTGCTGATCTGGAACTTCTCCTTTTGTAGTTGCCGAAACTTCACATTTTCAAACACAAACTGGGGAATAACAGACAGACACAAACATGCATCACTAGTAGGGGAAGTAAGTCAGTTGGATTATTCCATGGAGGATATGAGGAATAAGGTAATTGTTAAACAGGTGTGCAGATGCCATAGACATTCACCAACTGCACCAATTTCACAGCATCCACTTGCATATATTATTATACTCACACCAGCAGAGAAGGAGTTAGGTGGCTCTTGCTACTTCTCCAGGCTACTCTGATCATTCCTAGGATCCTAAGAGGGTAACCCAACCTTGGTTCAGAGCATTCATCCTGTGACCAAGTCCTGGTTTCTGAGATATGAATTAACTAGCAAGTCTGAAACATTAAACAAGAGCAGCTAACAACAGAGGACTTACTACGTGCTGGGTGCTCTTCTGAGAGCTTCACATGTATTAACTCATATAATCCTTACAACTACCCCTTAATCCAGAAAAGGAAACTGTGGCTCTGAGCGGGTAAGACTCTTGCCTGAGGTCATACATCTAATAAATGGCAGTGATAGGACTGGAATGGAGAAAGTTTGATGCCACGACATGGGCTTAACCACTTTGCTATGTTGCCTTTTCTAAGTAACAGTTTCTTCTGTGCTAACCACAGTGGGCAGTAGATAGGGAGATCATGTATTTTTGCTCACCTCCCTCCTGCTGAGTTCTAAGGAAGGAAGGAAGTCATTTTCCATTCTGTCCATGATGCGTACAATATCTTCAAAGACTTTCCGGTACCTTCGTTCATCTACAACCTTCACCTGAAAGAAAATGTATTCTGTTTTCAGTCTTTTATGTTTCTAGCTCATCTCCCTTGGAGATTATCTCACTATTTAAAACTGGTCATTACAGCAACCATTTAAAATAAACTGTGGTGCAAACAATATCCTCACTTTCTGTATCTTGTTTCACCCACAACTTTCACCTGAAAGAAAACAGATCTTGCTTTAGTTTTATTTGCTCTCGATTTTTATATCTCCAAGCATCTCTAACAATTTTTAAGAGGCCACTAAAGCAAACATAAATTCAACAAAGCATTCCAGAAGCACACACTTTAAGGTAAAGGTAAGATTATAAATTGAACAAAGCATTATGGAAGCACACACTTCAAGGTAAAGGTAAGATTACCTGGCTAACCTCTTGTAAAAGTTAAACCCCTATGTTAAGAAGCTTGGCAATAATAAATACTTGGGAAGAATATTTTCTTGCTTCATTGTTATTTGGTAGTGGAGAAAATGTGATGATTATGGTAAAAATGATTTCTTGCACTGTAGAAAATGACAGTGTCAAAACACGGCAATTACTGTTTCTAACAATCCTAACTTAGCGAGGTGGCAGAAAATATTATTAAAAAGCTTTTAATTCTATTAGATTCTATGTACAATACCAAGAATTATAATATCACTGCTCAGATTATGTAATAGCAGAGATATATTAATAAATGGAACCTACAGCCATTTTAGAAAACGGCTGAAACAAAATGTCCTAGAGTAAAACCATGACAACGGATAAACACATCTCGACCGATAGATAAAAAAATTTCCCACCTGACACAGCACTTTCAGCTTCCTGATATAGCTGTGTTTTTCTAAATATTAAAGCTTCATCCAAACCAATGCCAAAATTAATTTAATTAACACAGATTTTAAATTGAGAAATTGGTTTCTTTTTTAGACTAGGACATTTCACAAAAATCCATGTCAAAAAAAGTGATACATGCAGCAAAGGTTCTAAAAAGATGTGAAAAGAGATGCTGGTGAGACTGTTGGGAAATAGGAATGTTTTTACACTGTTGGTAGGAGTGTAAATTAATTCAACCATTGTGAAAGACAGTGTGGCAATTCCTCAAGGATCTAGAACCAGAAATACCATTTGACCCAGCAATCCCATTACTGGGTACATACCCAAAGGAATCTAAATCATTCTACTATAAAGACACGTGCACACGTTATGTTTATTGCAGCACTACTTACAATAGCAAAGACGTGTAACCAACCCAAATGCCCACTAATGATAGACTGGATAAAGAAAATGTGGTATATACATAGCATGGAATATTATGCAGCCACAAAAAGGAATGAGATCCGGCTGGGCACGGTGGCTCACGCCTGTAATCCTAGCACTATGGGAGGCTGAGGCGGGTGGGTCACTTGAGGTCAGGAGTTCAAAACCAACCTGGCCAACATGGTGAAACCCTGTCTCCACTAAAAATACAAAAAAATTAGCTGGGCATGGTGGTGGGTGCCTGTAAATACCAGCTACTCAGGAGGCTGAGGCAGGAGAATCACCTGAGTCTGGGAGGCAGAGTTTGAAGTGAGCCAAAATTGTGCCAGTGCACTCCAGCCTGGGCAAAAGACCGAGACTCTGTCTCAAAAAATAAAAAATAAAAAATCATGTCCTTTGCAGGGACATGGATGCAGCTGGAAGCCATCATCCTCAGCAAACTAACACAGGAACAGAAAACCAAACACTGCATGTTCTCACTCATAAGTGGGAGCTGAACAATGAGAACACATGGCCACAGGGAGAGGAACAACACACACAGGGCCAGTCAGTGGGTAGCGGGGTGAGGGGAGGGAGAGCGTAAGGACAAATAGCTAATGCATGCTGGACTTAAAACCTAGATGATGAGTTGATGGGTGCAGCCAACCACCATGGCACACATATACCTATGTAAGAAACCTATGTTCTGCACTTGTATCCTGGAACTTAAAATAAAAATTTTAAAAAGATGTGGGAAATAAGAACATCAAAGCTGAGTCAAATATCTCAGAATGTGGAGTTATTTCACATACTTGGTTTTTTTTTTTTTTTTTTGAGACGGAGTTTCGCTCTTGTTACCCAGGCTGGAGTGCAATGGCGCAATCTCGGCTCACTGCAACCTCCGCCTCCCGGGTTCAGGCAATTCTCCTGCCTCAGCCTCCTGAGTAGCTGGGATTACAGGCACGCGCCACCACGCCCAGCTAATTTTTTGTATTTTTAGTAGAGACGGGGTTTCGCCATGTTGACCAGGATGGTCTCGATCTCTTGACCTCGTGATCCACCCGCCTCGGCCTCCCAAAGTGCTGGGATTACAGGCTTGAGCCACCGCGCCCGGCTATTTCACATACTTGAACTGTAACTCTTAGAGAACTGAGGATCAATAACAATCACTTTACCATCACCAGGGTCCATATTATAGCATTAGGTTAAGATAAATTTTTTTTTGATAAATTTTATACTTTTACAAAACTTTACAACTTTTAATTTCCAAAAGTATTTTGCACATGCCTTTTTACTTTCACAACCTGGAAGGCTACCAAAGCAAGGAATATTTTTGTTCTGATACTTGAGAACATTAAGATACAAAACGATCAACAAATTTGCTCACTGCCATAGTTAATATCAAAGGTGACATCTGGACTAGTGTAAGACTCTTTCCAATATACCAGATATGTGACAGAATCAACTTGAGTATGTCTTAAAAGCACAGCTGCCTGGACCTACTAATCACAATCTCCAGGGGTGGGGGCCCACGTATTCACACTTTTTTTTAAAGCTAAAGAATTTTTATATCCCCCGAAGTCTGAGAACCAATGCAACAGATCACAGTACCAAGTACAGGGGTGGAACCCTATCCCAGCTTTATCTCAGCCAGCCCACATCAAGTCTTCTGAAATTAACTGGCCAAGGTGCACTTGGCTCCTTTGTTAAGTCACTGGTGCCAATGGTGGTGAAAATGTTGTGTGGTTTTTAAAGCCTCTAATCGTAGCATGCCCAAGAATCCAAAACACTGAGTGGTCACTCAGTAAAATCAAACCTTTTCTCAGCGGGTTATCATGATCACCGCACTTAATGGCAAATCAAGGATAATGGTGGGGGAACCCCAAAGAATTTCACAACCTGATACATCCATTTTAGTAAAGGAAATTACTGACAAAATTAGGAATTTGAAAAAAAGTACAATGAGCTAGGTCTTTATGTAATAAGATGGACAGCTCTCCAAGACACACTGCTGATTTAAAAAAATCAAGTTGTAGACCAATATATACATATGAGACCGCTTATGATATACAGACACCTATACACAAAACAGTATTTTGTCTATGGGTGAACAAAAAAGCACATACAAAGGTCTAGAACTGCACTGTCCAGTACAACAGTGATTAGCTACATAGGGAATTTTAATTTAAATTACTTCAAATTAAATAGAGTAAAAAGTTCAGTTCTCAGTTGCACTAGCCACATTTCAAGTACTCAATAGCCCTCTGCGGCTAGTAGCCACTGGACTGGACAGCACAGATACAGGACATTTCCATCATCACAGAAAGCTCTATTGGACAGCACTGGTCTAGAAAGACATAAACTCATAAGAGTAGTGGCCTGGCTGGGGAATTGGGGGTTAGGCAAAGTTGGGAGTAGGAGACAGAACAGGGATTGAAGAACTTCTGATTTATCTGTTAATTCCGCTTAAATTTCCTTTTAATTTTTTTTAAAAGCACTTGAATTACAACTTAAAAATCACTAAAAAGTCAAAAGGCAGATCTTTATTTAAGATACACAAAAATACACAGGAAGCCTGAAAAAAATATAAATATCCCACCAGAAACTCTGCATTAATGTCTAGGAAGCATTAAAAACATCGCAAGGTTTTGAAAAGAAATACAAACAAAAAAGCCAAGCATAGCTGATCAAACCAAAGAGGTTAGTGTCTAAGGAAAGATATCCTCTCAAAATGGATTAACAGAATTCAAATGAAGATAAGGGGGCAGACTTCAGGTACAAACCAGACATTAGATGGGCCAAAAGAAGTTATCTAAAGGTATATTTCATCAGGTTCTACAGAATTATAGAGGCATTGTGGGGTAGCAGAAAGAGCATAGAGTTGGGAGTTAAGCCGACTTAAGATTGGAATCTCAGCTCTCCTCCTAGTTGAATGCTCTTAGATAAATCATTTAAACTTGCTGTTCTCCATCTGCTTATCTGTTAAATGGGAAATACAGTCAGTTGTCCCTTGATATCTGTGGGAGATTGGTTCTGGCACTGCCTGTGTATAACCAAATTCATGCATACTCACATCCCACAGTTGGCCCTCCTTATACGTGGGTTTCACATCCTGTGAATACTGTATTTTCCATCTGCATTTGGTTGAAAAAAATCTGGGTATAAGTGGATCTGTGCAGTTCAAACCCAGGTTGTTCAAGGATCAACTGTATTTAAAGCGTTGTTGTGAGGAGTAAATGAGATGCGTGCAAATTGCCTCACAGTCCGTGGCACACAGCTACTAGCTGCTATCTGAGGAACAGTTACTATTATTGATGATTATTATTTTAAACTTTCAAAATGGACAAAAGTAAAGTGATGTTTGTCTTAATAAAATTTAAAATCTATTCTAAGATCAATAACTAATTTTGATCGTAAATGAAAAGCCCCAAAGTCTTTCTTCCTTAAAACAGGAGCAGGATAAAACAGGTTGGTGACATCTATCTCAGACGCCCCCTAAATTAACACACACACAGAGGACAGAAATCTATCTCATTATGCTCTTTACTCATTAATCTTCATGAGTATGTACCAACATTAACCACACTTAATAGAGGAGGAAACTGAGGCATAAATACGTTACATAAACTGTCCGTGGTTACAGTTAGAAAGTGGTTGAACTGGGATGCAAATCCTGGAAGTCTACTACGAAGTCCATTCTATTAAGCACTCTACTATATACATTCTGACAAATTATATGACTGTAGAGCCGGAAAATGCACAAGAAAGAACCAAATGTACTGTCTGTAACAAATCAGCATGATTACAAGATATAACCTGCATGCCAATAACACACAGTTTAAAAATACAATGGGAAAAAAATTTTACTCGCAATAGAGACAGAAAATTAAGTAACTGGCCATTAATGCAGCCCAGGATGGAACAGAGTCGAAGAAAAAATTAAAACCTATGCTTCTGGACAAGACGACCTCACTACAATAGGGATGACACTACATCTCTTAAGGCAATATACAGATTTGTTGTATTCTGATCAGTCTGTGCCTTTGCTCCTGCTGTCACTACCCTTCCACCCAGAATCTCTCTCCTGGTGTTTTCCTTCCTATCTGTCTGAAAAAACCTAGTTAACTCTTCATTATACATACTTACTTTAGGAAGCTCAGGTTACCACCTAACCACTACATAGCATGAGAAACATCTGTGTCACTAAAAGGCCTGGCGCATTAAGAGCTAAACAGACAGCATTTGAAAGGGTTGGGGGCACTAACCTCTCAATGCTGGAAATAGTTATTTGATTACGGAACATTTATGGCTCACTCAATTACTGATCTGTTCTGAGTCTAAATAATCCTCAAGTAATTGATACTTAACACACAAATAAATGAATGTATGAACAAGAGTTTACCCCAATATGGAAGAGGGCGCTAACAGGCTTGTGGTCACTGGTTTTCAGTTCCATGTGACTCCGATAATTAAGCTGATTAACATTTGTTCCTCTCCAAAGAATTCGGTCACACCAGGCTGGAACCCGGCATTTCCCACTGTAAGTAAAGAAATGAGTTATAAAGAAAGTATACCACATAAGAACATAATACCTACCATACTGGTTTAGACCAGGGTTAGGCTCTCTTGTTATATGCTCCCAAAGAAAGGTGTACTTCTCCTTCCCTAGTGATCTCTACCTATCATCCTCCCTACTATTTTACAAGCTGTGAAGGGACTGTATTTGCTTGTTTGCCACTGAAATCTTAGAACCTACCATGGTATCTGATGCAAAGTCATTGCTCAACGTATAGCTATCTAATGAATGAATGGTTCTGTTCAGATTGGGAGTACATCTTCAACAATATCACCATAGGAGAAAATATAATAGCACATTCTTAAAATACCCTCAGAAGATTTAGATTATATTTTGAACACTTCCTTTTCCTTTACTCTATGAGCATCAACGACACTTCACAACAGATAGCTAATCAAGACTAAAACTCCAATCTTCTCTTCCTAGACTGAGCTTAATATTTGGAGAGGGATAACAGTATTGATTTCTCCTTTAAACTCAGACATTTATGGACAAGTCTAGCTTCTTCTAATAGAGAAGAAATAAAACCAAACCATGCAAGTCTGAGCAAGTATCAGTCCACAGAATACCAAGGGTAGGGAAAAAGAACCTACTCATCATTCTACTAAAACAATCAACACCTTGTACACCTGATCCAGAAAGTGACACAGATATTTCTCATCAGTAGCTCTTCAGTTGACTCTCAAGTCAGGTGAGTGAAAGATAACAGAGCAAACTGTACAAGATCTAACAGTGTCATTTGCTGGCCTGTTCCCTAGGAGCATAGCAATATCAACTCCTCCCCACCCCAGTACTCTCAGAGTTCGAAACAGCTGAACATGCCTGTGGATTCTTTCTCAAGTTTCTGTGCTCAGCCACCTAGGAAACCATAAGAAAGAAAGAGACAGTAGGTAGAGGACAAATAGTTACTAAGAACTTACTGGCTGCACTTTACTAGGGTGATTAGGAAATCAAGAGTCTACTAAACAGTGGTTCTCAGTGTTCTCCAGCAGTGGCAGATGTTAGGTCCAAGTATCAATATTTTTTGAAGTTCCCTAAGAGATTCTAAGGTCTTTTAAGGATTAAGAGCTACTGTGCTAGAAGAACCTTTCAAGGCTCTTTGCCTTCTGGTATCCTGAGTTAAATAGCTGAGTAGTTAGGAAACAAAAGAGCCAGAATAGGTAATAGGTAAGAAATAAAGGCAAGATCAGGAAGGCAAAAATTTAAGCAAGTCTGCTGAGGTGAGAGAAATAAAACACTGTAGGCAGCTCATGTAAATAATAACTTGACATATAAGTAATAACTTCCCTACGATAGGCTCACCTTTGAGTATAGATGAAAGAAATACTCTTATTGTTCTACAATAGCATGGAGGCACTGAGCCATTAGGTTTTTACATCTGCTTATGGTATGGTCTAAAAAATTCCTAGCCCCTTACCAATATGGAGAATCAGAAATAAATCAAGCCTCAACCTTTTCTGTGAGAAGGTTCTTATTACTTTACCTGGAATCCCACTGGTCTGTTTTAGAGTCGTACTTATAAGTGGGGATGAACTTGATTTCCCCTTCGTTGAAGTCAACAAAAGCTTTTTTCTGTGTGCGCTGAATATTTAGCTACAGGTAGAAAGAAATATCAAATAAGTAGGTTAACACTATCTTAATATATGAGATAATCAGGTTGATAAACCACTGTTCCCATTTCTAAGTAACTAGTTACACAGCCTTTACAACTGTGGTAAGTGTACACAAATGGAATTTCTGTAACTTATTAATTAAATCTCAGCATTACCACAGCATCTAAACTCATCCACAGATAGGATGCTTGTTATCAGCATATCACTATTCTTTTATTGCTAATAGTAGCAAAGGGTAAAATGGAAAAATGCAATCTGAATAATTGTAAGTTCCTTGGAGCTGGGCGGGAACCAACCAGCACAATTTTAATGTAAAGAAAAAGCATAAAAATGTTGAATGAATAATTCCACAAACCAAATTCAGTGAATAGTTACAAATTGTTTGGAAAGAGCCTCACTCAAATATTTTTACCCGAGTTATATAACTCAGACTTTATCCTAAATGTACCCCTTTTGGAGGCAGAATAGAGAAAGAAAATGCAAATAAATTAGCCAGCCAACCACAATGTGAAGGTAGACACAGACAAGAATGGCTCATGACAAAAACCATTCTACTGCAAAACACCTGAATGTTGGTTACACCTGAAGGTTGAAAAGGCTCTCATAAAGATTTAGACATTTGAATGAAGTCAAAACATTTTCTTCCCTCAATAAGCAGCATTCACTTTTAGCAGCCAATATCCATATGTTGAAGTAAAAATTCAAGTCACATGCCAGGTTCTGAGTCAAATTTACTGCCTCAAATACATGGAAACCAGGTTCTTGAGTATGAAGTTTTATATAAATGTTACAGAATCAATGCTTTTTCTGCAGGTTTTAAATACCAGCTAGCTTCAACTTATCATCTAGTTCCCATAAGCCCATAGCCTATGCTGCTCATCCCAGACAAACTTCTTTGCTGTGCTTCCCAAAGCCCTCACGGGGCCTCCCTCTTTTACCTCCAAGCTGTTCCTCAGCCTGCCAAGTAATCATAGAACAGTTTTCCCTGTTCCATCTGCCAAACCACATCAACATAGCTGAAGGCTCACTTCCTCCAGGAAGTGTTCTCCAATTAACCCCACCCATTCACCAACTCATTTATACCATCTCTGAAATCTCTTCTTGATAAAGACGTTTGAAATAAATGTTATACTTACTTTTTATCCCTAATGTTATCTTCCCTCCTCCCATCCAAGCGTTTAACAAAAGCACTACAAATCTCATATGTGGTCAACGCATCACCAGTCACACTGTTTTCACAAGACAGTAAGACCTTTGCATCCCTTCCAAGAGTAAGATACACCTCCCATAACCAACAATCTCATCTCCCATTAGGAAAGTTCCTATAACATGAAACTTTACTTACCTGGTCAAATTTCAAGAGTCTCTGAAGGTCATTCTTATTAATAAGACTTTTCACCTCACTGGCATCAGGCAAGCAGAGTCTATAATTTAAATCTCCCAACCATATGACAACACTGAGGATCATAAAATACACGAACAGAAGTAGCAGCAATTAGCATAAAAAATCAGAGAAGGAAGGAGAGAAGAAAAATGGGTAAATTACTGGTGAGGGCTCACTCACCACTATCTTACAAGGGGCTTAAGTTGTAACTAATCCTTTGAGGGCAACTACTATCAACACCTGAGAGAGACAATGCATTATCAAATAGGTGGGAGAACAGGCACTCTATACATGAAGAATGAAAATGGGAAATCTTATGTATGGGATTCAGAAGCCAAGGAGTTAATGTACTGAGAAGCACGCAGTTTATTTGCTGGAGTAGTTTCAAAATTTTGCCTGGCTGCTAGCCAGGTCTTTAGGGGAAGAGAATTTGAACATTTTCTGCCTCTCAGACTCCTGAAGTTCTGTAGGCTCTCCACTAAGGTCTGAATGGTTTGAGTGACAGCTCTCCCAGACAGGACCCACTAAGAAAAGTAGGTCTAGGGCTCTCTAGTGTAGCCTAATCTGTCTACCATTGCCCAAGTCACAGGCAGAAAGGAGACTGGCATTCCATGGGATCCTCAGCTCCCAATAACAGCAACAGGCCCTTAGATGTGCTGAGAGCCCCGCAAAAGGAGACAATGCAATTACCACGTCAGAATGGATTCCCCTGTTGAGTGATCTCAAGTTCCCAACAGGTCATTCTGACAATCTCAAATGCAACATGAACTTTACGGAATCTGGGGAAATAAATTTATTTATGGAATTTCATGGCAACTTCATGACCACAAATTTTAAGGTCTTGACCTTACCACTGTGAAACAGAATTCCACATGATCCTAATTTCCTAATTATTGAGACATTATGGAAAACAGCTGAATCCTACTCTTTCCCAATTACTCTTTTCCCCATATTCATTTCTTTAAAACTAATCATTTTCTACCACCACCATATCTACTCCTCAACACATCTCTGCTTCTATGCTTATTAAATCCCATTCTTCACTGACTTCTTTCTGCTGCCCCTATTTTTAATAAGCACAGCCATTAAAAAGAATAGTGTAGATCTATATATACTGGCTTGGAAAGGGATCCATAATAAATAGGACAAATACAGTCATATACACCAAGTACATATGTATGTTTGTATGTGAATACAGGCTAGGATAGCGCCGTTTAATAGAATCATAATGCACCTCACAATATAATTTAAAATTTTCTAGTGGCTGCATTTAAAAAGAAAAAAAAATGAAAATATCAATAAATTTCATTTCACTCAATATATCCAGATTATCATTTCAACATGTGATCAGTATTTTAGAAATCAAGATACTGTACATTTTTTTCCTAAGTCTTTAAAATCCAATATCTGGTTTATGCATTCAGCAAATCTTAATTTGGACCAGTCACTTTCAAGTACCTAACAGCTCTATATGGCTACTGGTTGTCATATTGAACAGTACAGATCTAAAGGGATACACACCCAACTATTAAGAAGTTTCCTTTGGAGAGAGGGACTGGCTAGGTAGAGAATAAGAAATGAGGAAATTTTACTTTTATCTTTTATTACATTTACAATGAATACTTCTATTTTATCATAAAAACAATAAAAACTGACCCCGCCGGGCGCGGTGGCTCAAGCCTGTAATCCCAGCACTTTGGGAGGCCGAGGCGGGTGGATCACGAGGTCAAGAGATCGAGACCAGCCTGGTCAACATGGTGAAACCCCGTCTCTACTAAAAATACAAAAAATCAGCTGGGCATGGTGGCGCGTGCCTGTAATCCCAGCTACTCAGGAGGCTGAGGCAGGAGAATTGCCTGAACCCGGGAGGCGGAGGTTGCGGTGAGCCGAGATCGCGCCATTGCACTCCAGCCTGGGTAACAAGAGCAAAAACTCCGTCTCGGGGGAAAAAAAAAAAAAAAAACTGACCCCAACTACAGACCCTCCAGCATTATTCTAGATGCTCCACTAATAGAACTATCCTTTCCTCTGATATCAAGTCTAATTTCTCTGCCTCAATGAATCTGTTATTCCTCAAAAACCCTCTTTTCTTTGTGACCCTAATCCCTCACTAGCAATCTTCACTCTTCACAGCTCTACAGTATCTCACCACATTTAATCTCTTCACTATCCAAACTCTCCTGTAGCCACTACTCAAAGGCTACAGTTGAGTTAACCACTTACTCATGTTTCATGATGTTCAGTTGCGGGAGGGTCTGGTTTGGGACCACAAAACTAATTCTTGCACAAATGTCCTTATAATCTTGATTCCTTCTCTCAAAGTCCTCCACATGGGCAGCCAGATGGGAATTGACAATGCAAAAGGTGGTGTTGTGAAATACAAATCTCACAGCTACCCCACCTTTGTTTCCCTGTTAGCAAGAGTAATTATTCAGTTAGTATACAGAACTAGCAATTGAACTTCACGTGAACAGAAATACTAATCAAGCTCATTTCCAAAGTAACACACCATTTTCCCCATGATTCCAGTTCCAACTGTTTCTGTAGCAATATCACGAATATATCGACACTGATCCTTTCTGGCAAATATAAGGAGCATCATCCCAACAAGGCGCACCAGTTGAACCTATGAGTTCCAGGGAGTTACAAAAGGTTAATGTTAACACCAATCTTTGCCACATATCTAACTCCCCACAACTAATTTTCCATCAAGATGATATACCGATGCCCAAATCTGAATACATATTCTCTAATTTCTCAGTGGACCCCACCAAGTGGATACCAATATTTTATGGGGAGGCCCTAATCTGGCTCTGGCCAATAAAAGTTAAAAGCCTAAAGGGACAATCAGTACATTCAGCTCTAGATCCATTCTTTTAATCACTTCTTAGCCTACCAGGAGTAAGCAGAATTAAAAGTTCAAATAATAAAGCCACTATCCCAGCTTGTTCCTTCCACCTTTCCTTTCTAGTTTCTGATGTTTAATTTTCCAAGAAATTGAAATCAGCCAAACAGCAACCCTTTTTACTTCACTTATTTTTAACTTGTGAACTCCAGCTAGAAATAAGTCTGAGATATGCATTAGTCAGGGACCTATATAAGAGGAATACCATCCCCAGGAATTTTATTATCTATATAAACTGTTAGAAGATGCAGAGAAAAATTACTCACATTACTTCTTCTAGAGAACTTGGTATGATAGCCCTGTAATTAAAATAACTCTTCTGGTAGCTCAATGCCTCTACCACATACCTTCTAAAGACAACCAAATTGGCCCATCTTGCTAAAGTCAACTCTCTTCTTAACTTAAAAGCAAGTTTAGAACTCATTCAAATTCCACACCACTTCTGTTCTTGCTCTGATTGCAACACATGCACCAAGTGCCCACATTTTATACTGCTTTTCTGGAAAGCATTCAGTTCAACCATGTCAGTGAGCAATCTCAATCTTCAAGTTTCATTGCGCAAATCAGAAATTTTATATACGTAATTATTTCAAACTAATTATTGATATAAGAATAATAAAATTCTGTTTTTCCCTTACAAGCTATCTAAGCAATGAAAATATAATATCAGAAAGCATAGGGAATTTTTTTTCTAGGAAGTAAGGATAAATGATCAGTCTGCCCTATCCCAGTATTACACATAGAGAATAATTCAATTAAACTATTCTTTTGGAACAAGTTGTAGATAATGGAATAACTCCCGGTGAGCCCTCGTTAGTCATATACTTAGAAAGATAATTAAATGTGCCTTACTTTCTTATACTTGGCTTCGGAATGCAAACCCCTCTCTACAGCCATGGACCATTCTTGTTCCTTTACAGATTCAAAGTAGAAAAAGGCTTCTGTGCTCAAGTCCAGTTCTTGGAATCTGAGGAAAAAAGGGATGATGTGAGATCTATACATATCCCATAATTATTTCTGGCTACTTCCTGTCCCATATGTTGAAACTTTAGATGAAAAAAAGATGGGAGAGAGATAAATTTTACAGAGCTGCTCTGTTCACCCAGGTTATCAGTAAGGACAAGTAGCTTTCTTTTCTAAAGAATTCCCACAAGTACATTCATAAACTATGCAAAAAATAAACCAATAAACTGTTATCCTCTCACAGAGGATAACAGTAGAGCTTTGCTCTTATATCCTAGGAATTATCACTGTTAGAACTGACCTCGAGTCTTAGTTTCTATGCAGAATACATAGATTCCTACGGGTTTCAAGAAAATTAGATGCTTCCTCGCACCATTTTAGGTATCTGTTCCTTTCTGATCTCACAAATTTGACCCACAAGTTAACTCAAGAATATAGTCTACAGTAGGTTTTACCAAATAGTTTTTTTTAAAGGCAAAACATCATGTAAACTAACACCAAACATATAGCCAAAAGGAAATTCCAGAAGTGTTCTTTACCCAATGCAGTAGATATCAGGAGGATTGGGATCACAGTTCAGCCAAGGTCCTAACTCGCTATCTGGAGACTGGCCATTCACATTCCAAGTTCCAACAAAAAATCTAATACATAATATGAAAAGATAATTTGAAAACAAAGATCAAGTATAAACCAACAGAAGGTTTTTCTTTTAACTTCTATACAAAGGTATGTTCACAATATGCTAACATAATTCCTCAAAATGTTTTGCCACACATGTAAGAAAAATCTTTTGCACCTAGAACACAAAGGCAGTGGGCTTATTTTCTCTAAATTTTACATTAAGTAAAACTACAGAAGGAAACCAAGTCTCTATTTTTAAAAAATGCAAAGGTAATTGCTATACCACATTTCCTTTCAATTAAACTCCATCTAAACTCATAGCTTATGGATGGGAAAGAGGTATCTTCATGCTGTAAGCTAGTCAAATATGGATAAATGTTCTATACAGGGCTGTAGCTGACTCCAGAAACTCACTTCCTGAAGGATTACAAGGACATCTGTGTAGCAAATTCTGAGGAGGCAGACATAGTATTAAGGGGGAAAGCAGAAGGGAAAACTCATGACTGTGTTAGCTGTTTACACACAAACATAAGCATAGTGGGGAATATCAGGAACTGGAGGTTTTAGCATAGGGAGATAGTTATGATTGAATTAGAATAAAAGAGGCATGACAGGATAGCAGATGGGACCAGAATCTTGGACTAGAAGGGTACATTCTGCTCATAAGTAACAAAGAAAGGTGGTGTTGCTTCATGAATTGGTGATACACACCACATGGTACCTCACATGCAGCAAAAACACAGGTCCAGAAAAGAAGATGTCAACAAGTAAAGATGAAACAAAAAATAATACAGATGAAAGAATCCAAGACAGACCTCCTGATCAAGAGGACTGGGTGAAACTTACTTTACCTACCAAAGTAAGTTAAGAGCTAGTGGTAATGATGAACTTTAATTTTCTGATATTGGTGAGGAAAAAAAAAAACTTAGCAGGCCAGATATATAAACAGGCTTGTTTATGGAATGTGCTAGGGGAAAATTCTCTAGTAGATGTGAGCTTGATTTGATGCTTTAAGACTCAATAGAGGCCAGGCGCAGTGGCTCACGCCTGTAATCCCACACTTTGGGAGGTCGAGGCAGGCGATCAGGAGGTCAAGAGATTGAGAACATCCTAGCCTACATGGTGAAACCCCGTCTCTAATAAAAAAATACAAAAAATAGCTGGGTGTGGTGGCATGCGCCTGCAGTCTAAGCTACTACGGAGGCTGAGGCAGGAGAATTGCTTGAACTCAGGAGGCTGAGATTGCAGTGAGCCGAGATTGCGCCACCGCACTCCAGCCTGGCACCTGGCAGCAGAGTGAGACTCTGTCTCAAACCAAAAAAAAAAAAAAAGACTCAATAGAGACATTAGTAGACATGGCATTATTAGTAGTTAGAAAATCCAAGGGAAGGCCCACCATGGTAGCTCACACCTATAATCCTAACACTTTTTTGCCTGACCTCAGGAATTTGAGACCAGCCTGGGCAACATGGCGAAACCCAGTCTCTGTAAAAAATACAAAAATTGGCCAGGCGCAGTGGCTCACGCCTGTAATCCCAGAACTTTGGGAGGCCAAGGCAGGTGGATCACGAGGTCAAGAGATCGAGACCATCCTGGTCAACATGGTGAAACCCTGTCTCTACTAAAAATACAAAAAATTAGCTGGGCATGGTGGCGCATGCCTGTAATCCCAGCTACTCAGGAGGCTGAGGCAGGAGAATTGCCTGAACCCGGGAGGCAGAGGTTGCGGTGAACCGAGATCGCGCCATTGCACTCCAGCCTGGGTAACAAGAGCAAAACTCCATCTCAAAAAAAAAAAAAAAAAAAAACAAACTCAAGCCTGTAATCCCAGCACTTTGGGAGGCCGAGGCGGGTGGATCACGAGATCAAGAGATCGAGACCATCCTGGTCAACATGGTGAAACCCCGTCTCTACTAAAGATACAAAAAATTAGCTGGGCATGGTGGCACGTGCCTGTAATCCCAGCTACTCAGGAGGCTGAGGCAGGAGAATTGCCTGAACCCAGGAGGCGGAGGTTGCAGTGAGCCAAGATCGCGCCATTGCACTCCAGCCTGGGTAACAAGAGTGAAACTCTGTCTCAAAAAAAAAAAAAAAAAAAAAAAAATTAGCTGGGTGTGGTGGCATGCGTCCGTAGTCCCAGCTACTTGCGGGGGCTGAGGTGGGAGGATTGCTTGGGACTGGGAGGTCAAGGCTACAGTGAGCCATGATCTGCTTTCCAGCTTGGTTGACAAAGAGAGCTTGACTCACACACAAAAAAAGAAAATCCAAGGAAAACCGTAGCATCTGCATTATTTCTGATATGCATGTTACTGGCCAGCATAGAGACAGGAGCTTGAAACAGGTGACCATTCCTTTTTATCATATTTTGATTCTTAATTAGGCTAATGTCTTAAATATCAACAGGCCACTGTCTGTTATACCTACTTACTTTTTGGACTCAGGAAGCAAAAGAGACACTAACCTGAAAGTCTGAATGTTGACATATTCTTTCTCTCGCTTTGCCAGGATATGTTTAATGAGACCCTCCCGCTGTCCAGATTGGGTATTTGGTACAAAGAGCTTCCGCATAGTATTGGTCACTTTGGGCTGCTCCTTGTTAGAAGCTTCTTTTTCACGTGGAAGCCTAGCAAATAAAAGATTCAAAAGTAAAACTGTTTAAACTATAATTCTCCTATAGGGGAAATATGTTTTCACATAGGACTTACATTTTATTCACTGAAGGGGGTGGAGGTGGGGGTTCCCGATGAATCCCAGTAGGCTGATTTTGTGAATTTATTTTTTTGTCCAAATTCATAGAAGAAAAATTGTCTTCAAATCCAAGAATCCCTGAAAGACACAGACCCCAGAGTCAAAGGGGAAAAAAAGCTAACATCCAACATATCCAGGGTAACAGGGCTTTGATTTGATCACAATTTGATCAGTGGCATTACTAAACAGAAAGCTACCATAAGGGTAGAAGTTACTTGGATTGGGGTTCGAAGAAGCACACCCATCCCTGAAGCACTGATACAGTAACTAGAACAATAGTTTACAGACTAATAATAGCTAACATTTACTGAAGACTTAGTACAATGCCTGGTTGAACAGTAAGTGATTATATCATTATCTCACTTAATTATCACAAAAACTCTATGAGGTAAGTACTATTAAACTTCTTACCATGTTACCGAAAAGAAAATGGAAGTTCAGAGTTATTCAGTAACTTGATGAAAGTCGTATAACTAGTAAGGCCTTGACTTGGGTGGGATTCAAACCCAGGCCGCCTGGCTCTGGAGCTTGTACTTTCTACCACCCTGCTAAGCTGGCTCCTGAAAAGCCACCAGGCTACAGAACGGATGAGGAGTAAACACTGGTCAGTGGGCCTGGACTCGATAAAACTATTCAGCAGGAGAATGTGTCTAACACTGGCTTTAATCTACATCATCATATTTGGCCTGACAAAATCTACTGACTCTGCAATGAACATAGCAACCAGGGAACCAGAAACTTTTTAGTACCTGAAAAAACAGAAGGTTTGTCCTTAGTGTCTAATTTCTGGTACCAGCTGGATGAATCCTTTTGCTCTGGAACAAGAAGTTGTGACTGAGCTGAAGAGATATGGTTCATGGTCAGAAGCTGGGAAGTCTTTCATTGAATAGAATTTACCATAGCGAAAAGCCATTCTTTTCAACATTCCTTACATGCAGGGGCCAGCACCATTTTTGGATATAGAAGAAACGAAGGAAATGAGGGCAGCTCTGGGGTCATCAGGGGGCAGAAGGAGAATTACAGTCTATGGTAAACTATGCTTGCCATGACACTGAAGATTCTGGAAAGTGGCTTGGTGTCCTTACAGCCAGGCAGATTTGTTCCCTAACCTATCCCTGTGTTCACTCCTGAAGAAAAAAAATCAGCTATCAGGGCTTAAGCGTGAGGTATTTTGCCAATGGCCATTTCCCTCTGTATCAGCATGTCAGAATTTCATTCCCCTTCAAATAGAAGAAAGAAAATTGCTGAGTCTTGAGTTACCTTTCTGAGCAAGGAGGACCTCTGAGAGGAACTTCAAACCGTGTTCCTCATCAGGGATTTCAAAGCGGCGCTCTCTGGTCCAGTTCCCCTGAACCCGAATTTTGCAGCCACCTAAAAAGAATTGAAATCCATACATAGACTGCTATGGGATAAAATGTTTTACTGGGATCACATTCTTAACTTATCAGGTTAATAGCAGAAGGTCCAGATCATAAATATTCAGACTTCCAATATAGGAAGCACGTGTACAAGATCAAGAGAGTCAGTATGACAGTGGTGGAGGGGGTGATGCAGAGAGGGAACCCCAAGGGAAGTAAGAACTCCTAGGGTTGATGAACTGTGTCAATGAGCAACACAATCTAGGGATATGACACATACTAAAATCATACTTTCCTGCTTTCTTATCTATCTCTCAGAAGTCAAAGCAGGGACCTTCAAATTCTAGCAAAATGTAAATTCCTCAATCACCCTCCTCCTATCCCTTAGCTGGAAATTCCTACCATTTCAGGTCCAGATCGTATTGTCAGAGTATCTGAAGCATGAAGGGAATAAAAGTAGTAGGACGGTTTGTCCCTAAGTACAGATTAAATTTACCAAATAATTTTAAAATAGTGATTTGGTTTGAAGTATTCTGAAAAGAAGCATCTACAACTCATTATCTCAAGTTTAAAATGTATGTCTTGAATAAACATACAAAGCAATATTATGACCTATGCTCAGAAGTGGTTTGGTTCAAGTATAGCCAATTGGAAACTAGGAGAGTTAGAAGCAAAGTTAGCTAGGACTTTAATTTCTTATGTGTAGAACATATTGTCTCCCCTTTTCTGATACCCTATAGTTATCATCTGTATCATCTGTTTGGATGCAGTGATCCAGGAAACCTATGTACTTGTTTCTATTCTTATCGTAACTGATTTATTACATACGTTGTTTTCTCATGCCCCTGGAAACTACAAGCTCTTTCAGGGCAAGAGGCAGGGTACACATGCAGGGTGCACATACAGGGAGCCCAGCACTTTCAGCAGTCTAGGGTGACCAACTGTCCCAGCACTGTATGGGACTGAGAGGATTCCTAGGACTCAGGACTTCAATGCTAAGACTGGGAAAGTCCCAAGCAAACAAGGCTTCCTGGTCACTCTACTGATGACAGTAACATCAGACTTCAAAGACAGAAGGTATTTAATAATGACTGATGAACTGGAGTCTCTCACACTTGTAAAGAACAAATACATGAGAAAATGAAACGAAAATCCTAGATTTCTATGGTGGAAATCCACTTCTGAACCTTTGGGTTTTTGTCCCCTGCATTTCTTATTTCTATCTCTGGAGAATGAGTTACAAAAAGAAAAATAAAATGATTAACTAGACGAAAAGATATAAAAATGGAGAAAAAATGTGAAGGAAGGCACCTAAATAGACCAGAGATAAGAAAATTAATGAGGGTGCCACTGTAGAGAGGAAAAAAGAGAGGGAAGGAATAAACTGTCAATTACAGTAGCCATGAAGATACAGGGAAAACTCCTTCAGGGCCTAACAAGTCCTTCCTTTCTCAGATAATTTATATTAAATGTAGTTATAGAAGAATAGTTTCTATCTGACATAAATTTAGAACAAGAACCCATATTCTCTCTCTGTTACACGCATAAACACACAATTCTTGAAAGACATATTTTTCCAAATATATAACTGACCTATGTAATGGGCCAGAAGATTCCAGAAATTGCTTACAAAATAACACTGGATACTCCCTTACCATGTTGCTTGGGAAAGAGAACAAATTACCTCAAGCCTCAACTTTCTACTCTTCTTGTCCAGCCTAGAACCCTCTGGAGCTCTGTGATACGCAAACACTCCTACATCCTCAACTTCATCTGAATATTCTCTGCGTTTCTCAGTAGTTCTCAACTGTGCATGCATTAACATTACAGGAGGCACTTTAAAAACAATATTGAACCCAGGCCCCACTCCAGGACAATTAAAATAGAATCTCTGGAGGTGAAGCCCAGGCTCTGGTAGTTTCCGAGTGATTTGACCTTGTATCCACATTAAAACTCAGAGTCAACTGCAAAACTGGCTTGTCCCTAGGAGTACTTCTGTTACAACCCTCTTAATGGAGGCTGTTTATATTCTCTCACACCTGAAGTAATTTTGTATTGGTGTCTTTACTTGTCCTAATACCACAACCAGACTATTCTTTCTCTTCCCTCAGGCAAAATCCTTTCTCCTTTGAGGCTCATCCATTGGGCCCTACCATTTCCACCATTTCCTCCCTTTCCTCTACATCATCATCCACCATCCTCCCGGAAACTTCAGAATCCAAGATACAATACCTGGCTCATAAAACTTTGTTGCCACTCAATCTCCTGCCATTGACTTTGGGTCCCTTTAAAATTAGCACAGAACACCCAGTCAACACCTTCAACTTCCTCATCCAGTGACACTCCCCCTCCATCTCAGCCACCACTCCCTCAGTTGCTACTGGGACTCTCTCAGTTATACCCTGGATTTGGTCATCATAAAAATACTACCACTTCATAAACCTCCAATTCAAATATCCTACCCTGATCTGTTATTCCTTCCAACTTACTTGCTCATTATCCCCACTGTAACTTTTTTTTTTTTTTAACCTCATGGGAACCTCCAGCCCATTAATTCTTCCATTTTCTTACTATCTGTCAGTCCCTTCCTGCTCTCACTTCCTTTTTTAATCAAACAGATGCCATGATTACACTCTGTTGCAAAAACCCAGAACTGCCTTACCTCTCTGTTCTTCCATGGCACCTATCTGGCTAAATACCAACCCTCAGAAATCCAACTAATTGCCTTTCTGTATTTATACCTGAACAACCAGAGGGGGTAAATATGCACACCCACACCCAGAGGGCTATCATTATAAATTCCTGATTGCCAATCTCAACTGGACCCTCTATCATGGAAGCAACCTAATTTCCCACAGACGATCAGTCTCCTACTACTATCTCAAACAACTGTTCCATACCAATTTATCCTCAAAATTTGGATCCCCCATCTTCTTGAGGCCTCTTATTCTAGGCAGAATGCGTCAGCTCATACTTCAGAGAAAAAATAAAGCTATCACATGGAACGTTATCTGCATTTGTACTCATCTCATCCTTTCCCTACTGAAACAAGGAAGAAGATTCCTCCTATCAAGGCTTCTTCACTTCAAATTACAATCCCTCGGATTCTCTTGGTAATCTTACACTCACAACTATTCCGCAGACACACCCCCATGTCTTTAAACTTTCCCTTTCACTGGCTCCTCCACATTAGCATATAACTGTGTTCTAAGTCCTTCTCATTTGAAAAACAAAAATCTTCCTGGATCTCAGATTTCCCTCCAACTCCAGTCCATCTCTATATTCCCCTCCAGTCATGTTTCTTTAAAAGACACAGTCACTGCTTTCTCAACTCCCATTTCTCACTTGAATCCACTCCAATATGACCTCCATACCCACCACTTATCTGAAATTGCTTTAAGTTCACCAATAACCTCCATCCCATGAATATTCTTTAATCATCTTATTAGACCTATTAGCAGAAATCAAGTTAATCAGGGCTTGATATAATCTCTTCCAAAGGTTTCTACGATACCATACTCATCTAGTTTCTCTCTCTCTCATCACTAATTTTGAGTGCCCTTTGAAGTATCCCTTCCTCTATCCAACCTCTAAAACATGGAGTTCCTCAAGTTCAAACATAGATCTTTTGCTCATTCTATACCAGTATTGTCCGATGGGACTTTCTGTGATGTGGCTACTGCAACTGAGGGACTGAATTTCTCATTTTGGTTCCAATTATTTTAAATAGGCACATGTAGCTAGTGGCTACTGTATTACATAGCAGAGTCCACACACAATCACATCATCTCTTATGGTTCTGAATATTATCTATGTGCTAGTGACCCAGACCTTTCTTCTGAGATTCAGATGCATACATTCACATACCAATTTATCATTTACACTCAAGTGTTTCAAAAAAAAATCTCGGTCAGGTGCAGTGGCTCGCACCTGTAATCTCAGCACTTTGGGAGGCCAAAGCAGGTGGATCACCTGAGGTGAGGAGTTCAAGATCAGGCTGGCCAACATGGCGAAACCCTGTCTTTACTAAAAGTACAAAAATTAGCTGGACATGGCAGCAGGTGCCTGTAATTCCAGCTACCCGGGAGGCTGAGGCAGGAGAATAGCTTGGACCCGGCAGGCGGAGGTTGTAGTGAGCTGAGATCGTGCCACTGCACTCTAGCCTGGAGTACAGCGAGACTCCATCTCAAAAAAAAAAAAAAAAAATCTCAAACTAACATGACCAAAACTGAATTCCTGACCTCCTCCGCCTTGAGGAAAACTCATTCTTTCTGTAATGTTCTTATTTTTGCAAATTGTACCATCATCCACATCCACAGTCATGTCAGAAACCCAAGATTCATCCTTGACACTTCCTCTCACCCCCTACACCCAAACCAATTCCTATTGATTTTATCTCCAAAAACATCTATCAAGTCTGTCCGCTTATCTTCATTACTACTGCCACAACACTCTCTAGCTTATACTACTGAAACAGCCTCCTAACTAGTCTCTCTGCTTCCATGCAAATGGTGACACTCCAGCATAAAATCCTTCATATTCTTCTCATTTTTAAAATCTCAAAATTCAGATTTAATACCAAGGCTTACAAGATCCTGCCAGATCTGTCCCCTAGCCTGTTTTTCTTACCTTGGTACCCAAGACCTGTTTGTTTTAGGCACCCTGGTCTCCTTTCATTTCAAAGACAGTGTCAAGCTACTTTCCAACCTGGAGCCTTGTGATTTCCTTTACCTGGTAAACTCTTCTCTCTCCCATCTTCACCTGCCTCTTACTTAGCCCCTCTGGTCTCAATTTAAATGTCACTTCTTCAAAGAGATTTTCCTTGACCACCTTCCTAATATACTTACTCCTCTCATAAACTCTTAGCACTTTTCCAAAAGAACATTTATTAAAACTACGATTATCTGTATTTTATCAGTTTAATGTCTGTTTCCTACATTAAAATCCTTAAAGTATCATGACTGTACTGCTTTCTGCTATATCCTTAGAGCCTAGCATAGTTCTTGGCACATAAAAGACACTCATATTTTTAAAGAATGAATGAATGAGTTATAGGTATCTGTGTGACACTAGTACTGAATTGCGCAGAAGCAAGAACCAAAGTAGGAGCAGCAACTTTATCTTTGTCATTCTGTACTGATTCTGCAGAACTTACAAAAGTGCCTGACAAATAGAAGGCACTCAACAAATATTTGTTGAATAATGAATAAACAAGGGACAGTTTAATATTAGGATATTAGTACAATACAGTGTACCAATTGGTCAAATAAGGAAGAACAATAAAATCATCACCATAAATACCAAAAAGACATGTGCTAAAATTCAGCATACATTCATGATTTTAAAAAACACAAGCTTGAAATAAACAGTTTCTTAATTTAAAAAAAAACTATCAAAGCAACAAGCAATAATGTCATTAACAGTGAAATACCACTTGAGGCATTCTCACTGAAATCAGGAGCCAAACATCATCATTATTTACCACCGGTCCCAAAATTCTCACTGGTATAGTGTACAACAATAGTAGCTACTAGAAAAGAGACAAAATTATTATTTATAGATGATTAAGGTTATCTACCAAAATGAAAAAAAACCAAAAAGCAAAAAAGATTAAAAATAAATTTCAATGAAGCGACTGGATAAAAGATAAATATCCATAACTCTATAGCTATTCTGTATACTAGTAATAAACAATTAGAAAGAAATAGAAAAAAGTTCCACTCATAATAGCAGCAAATAAAATCCACCACAAAATACTTAACCTAAAAACTATATATATGAAGAAAGGATAAAATTTTACTGGAAGATATAAAAGAGGACCTGAAAAAAAAAATAGATTTATCATGTTCCTTGACAATGATTTACTTGCATAAAGAAGTTAATTTAGTAAAATTTGGCACATACCTATGGTGAAATATTGGTCTTTAAAAAGCATATTATAAAACAATTGTAAATGGCATAGGAAAATGTGAGAATATAATGTTATATGAAGATGCAGGATAAAAACTATATATGAGGATTCCAATTACGTAAAAATATAAATAAAAGACTGGAAGGAAATACATCAAAATGTTAACCACAGTGGTGATCTCTAGATTGCAGGAAAATAATCTTAATTTGATACTTTAAACTTTCCTGAATTTGTAAATGGCATATGACGAAGATGTATTACTTCTATAATGAGAAAAAATTATTTACAAAGCATTTAACACCAATATTCAGAAAATAGGAAAATGCATATTTACATTAAAATCAGGTCTACTTAACGAACCAAAGATCTCCTTCCTGCAACACGCTGTGTACTGTAGTTTATGTATGAAGCCCAATGATGAAGATAAAATGTGGTTTCAGTGCAAGTATTACTAAATGCATAGAAATGACAAAGAATTTTAGTCAAGTGGTCACTTACCTATTTTCCCCCTATGAGCTACAACTCTGGACATAGCAACACATGGCTAATGTAAAAGAAGTTACAACAAAACTAATGCTGAGCCGGGCGCGGTGGCTCAAGCCTGTAATCCCAGCACTTTGGGAGGCTGAGGCGGGTGGATCACGAGGTCGAGAGATCGAGACCATCCTGGTCAACCTGGTGAAACCCCGTCTCTACTAAAGATACAAAAAATTAGCTGGGCATGGTGGCACGTGCCTGTAATCCCAGCTACTCAGGAGGCTGAGGCAGGAGAATTGCCTGAACCCAGGAGGCGGAGGTTGCGGTGAGCCGAGATCGCGCCATTGCACTCCAGCCTGGGTAACAAGAGTGAAACTCCGTCTCAAAAAAAAAAAAACAAAAAAAACTAATGCTGAAAATTAGGTGTTTATAAAAGAAAAGGCGCCAGGCGCGGTGGCTCAAGCCTGTAATCCCAGCACTTTGGGAGGCCGAGGCGGGTGGATCACGAGGTCAAGAGATCAAGACCATCCTGGTCAACATGGTGAAAACCCGTCTCTACTAAAAATACAAAAAATTAGCTGGGCATGGTGGTGCGTGCCCGTAATCCCAGCTACTCAGGAGGCTGAGGCAGGAGAATTGCCTGAACCCAGGAGGCGGAGGTTGCGGTGAGCCGAGATCGCGCCATTGCACTCCAGCCTGGGTAACAAGAGCGGAACTCCGTCTCAAAAAAAAAAAAAAAAAAGGCACAGCTCAGTTTAACTTTTCAGTTTTGAACCAAATGCCTCTCCACATCAAATACAGGACATTTCCATCTCTTATTTCAGCAGCAATGTCAGTTGTTACAGAACTGCCTTTGTTCTAATTTTGATTTTTTTTTTTTTTGAGACGGAGTTCCGCTCTTGTTACCCAGGCTGGAGTGCAATGGCGCGATCTCGGCTCACCGCAACCTCCGCCTCCTGGGTTCAGGCAATTCTCCTGCCTCAGCCTCCCAAGTAGCTGGGATTACAGGCACGCACCACCATGTCCAGCTGATTTTTTTTTGTATTTTTGGTAGAGACGGGGTTTCACCATGTTGACCAGGATGGTCTCGATCTCTTCACCTCGTGATCCACCCGCCTCGGCCTCCCAAAGTGCTGGGATTACAGGCTTGAGCCACCGTGCCCGGCCTTAATTTTGATTTTTTAAGTGTTGTTTTTGCCTTCTCCTTTCTAGGCACAGTAAGACCATAGACATTAAGTTATTTTATCTCTTGGATACTTGCAGCTGGGTTTATCTGGCCTTTCAGACACAGCCCTTAAGACTTCTAAAATCCACGACCAAAAAAGAAAAAAAGAAAAAGAAAACTCAAGCCAGAAAAAAAGCTTACTTAAACTGTTCGATACAAATTAATGGTGCCAAGGGCAGGGACTCTATCTAAACAAAGTTATGTAAACCCATAGTGCCAAGCTCCGTGCCAGTTCCCACTCATCCAAGGACTCAACCAAGAGATAAGGCAACCAATTTGATTTAGATTCATGTGGTTAGATACTCTTTTCCATAGCAACCTCACAGTAGCATCGAGTGGCCATTTTCTCCACCCTATAAAATAGTATGATTAAATGATAAACAAAGAACAGCTTGCACAGAAAGTCAAAGATGATTTGCTTCAAACAGATAAAAATGAGAGAATGGAAATATTGAAGAGAAAATCATGTTTCCTCTAATAAAGAAATGCCTTGAGGGCATGGGGCTTAAATAAAAGACCAAACATTTTTTTTTAAAGGACTGCCTGGACAAGCAATTTAAGGGACTCTTCAGACTTCAAAAAAAATATAACAAATAAAGGAAAATATTATGACTTAACAAACAAAGTTGAAAAAGAGGATGGGGAAAAAAACCTTAAAATGTAATAGCAGTTCCCAGCACTTTGGGAGGCCGAGGCGGGTGGATTACAAGGTCGAGAGATCGAGACCAACCTGGTCAACATGGTGAAACCCCGTCTCTACTAAAAATACAAAAAATTAGCTGGGCATGGTGGCACATGCCTGTAATCCCAGCTACTCAGGAGGCTGAGGCAGGAGAATTGCCTGAACCCAGGAGGCGGAGGTTGCGGTGAGCCGAGATCGCACTATTGCACTCCAGCCTGGGTAACAAGAGCGAAACTCCGTCTCAAAAAAAAAAAATAAATAAATAAAAATAAATAAAATAAAAATAAATAAATAAATAAACAAAAAAAAATGTAATAGCAGTTAAAAAACGACAAAAAACCCCAACCAATAAACCTTATGTGCTGTAAACATTTTATTAGCCCTTCCTACAATTATCAATTTTACAGCAATGATTTAACTGACAGCAACAATACTGGTAGCTCAAGGAAGTTCAGCATTAGAAAGGTAGATCATTATTTTTAATTTTTATAAAGATTCTTGCCGGGCTCGGTGGCTCAAGCCTGTAATCCCAGCACTTTGGGAGGCTGAGGCGGGTGGATCACGAGGTCAAGAGATCGAGACCATCCTGGTCAACATGGTGAAACTCCGTCTCTACTAAAAATACAAAAAAATTAGCTGGGCATGGTGGCGTGTGCCTGTAATCCCAGCTACTCAGGAGGCTGAGGCAGGAGAATTGCCTGAACCCAGGAGGCGGAGGTTGCGGTGAGCCAAGATCGCGTCATTGCACTCCAGCCTGGGTAACAAGAGCGAAACTCCATCTCACAAAAAAAAAAAAAAAAAAAAAAAAAGATTCTTACCAGCTACCCGCTTTTTCTTAGGCATAGCCTACATCTTTTTGGGAAACAATGCTAATTTGTATGCCTGCTACAAGAGACCACAGGAAAAGATGGTGAAATTTAAAAATGTGCCGCAAAAGGTGTCTTAAATGTAATAAGCGTTCAAGTAAATATTTGTTGAATAAAAATCAAGCACATTTGGAAAGATACTCACTGTTAGAAGCTATGTGAATCAATAGAGTTTCTTCTGCTTCTGAGAGTGGAAAAAAAAGAGAATAGGATCAGAGAAGAGAAAACTACTCATTACAACCAAAAGAATACATGCCTAACTAAATAACTGCTTCTCTCAGTCACTACTCCTAGGTCTTAGAACACATTTTTTCAAATCCTTTTTTTGCTTAATATTTTTTAAAAAGGGATTTTAATAGCACTAGGTTCTAAAGACTATGAGCAAATCAACTAAAATAAAAATGAACTGAAGAAGTAACCAAACGGAACTCTTCAAAGCAAATCAAGGAACAAGAAATTAATAGTACAGAACACAACAACATGCTAATTCAAGTGAAAGCAAGTTGAACTCCACTTAACTATAACATACTGATTTAACTCTGTGCCCTTTAGATACTCCTTTAGATGCTAGAAGGCAAAGGAAGTGACCCTGAAAGCCCAGAGGTGAATTACTTTCTTAACTCAGATCTATTCTCTGAAAATTTCCCAGTGATCTCATTACCTCTGCCCCTGCCCCACACAGGGTAGAATATACCTTCAGGTTACAATTATTACCTGTGGGCCCAAGGCCCTCCATCCCCAACAGGGTACAAAGCAGTCTGCAAATTTAGAGTTCTCTTATTTCTTGATGGTTCTTCTGGACTTCTTTCCTTTACAACTAGTGTCTAGACCCAACCTATCTCTTTCCCTCTGACTTCTCTGGATTTGACCAACTGTACCTGCCAGACCCTACTAGCTAATTGAACTCTGGGTACTGACTCCTTGGGATTAGGCTGGATCTACCTTGGTCAAATGTAGTCATCTCACGTTTTCCACCTCTCTCCCAAGACTGAATTGTTTATCTGGCTCTATTACTCAGGTACAACAGAAGCAACTGGCAAGGAACTAAGTCATTTAATACTAGAAAGCAATCTCGGTATTATTATTAGGATGATTAAACAAGGGGAATTAGGACATCACTTAATACTAGAAAGCAGTCTCGATATTATTATTAAGATGATTCAGGGCCGGGCGCGGTGGCTCAAGCCTGTAATCCCAGCACTTTGGGAAGCCGAGGCGGGTGGATCACAAGGTCAAGAGATCGAGACCATCCTAGTCAACATGGTGAAACCCCGTCTCTACTAAAAATACAAGAAATTAGCTGGGCATGGTGGCGCGTGCCTGTAATCCCAGCTACTCAGGAGGCTGAGACAGGAGAATTGCCTGAACCCAGGAGGCGGAGGTTGCGGTGAGCCTAGATAGCGCCATTGCACTCCAGCCTGGGTAACAAGAGCGAAACTCCGTCTCAAAAAAAAAAAAAAGATGATTAAACAAGGGGAATTAGGGCATCAAAACATAGATATTGTACGTTTACTACTGATCTTCATTAACTTTTAGTTCTGTAAAACCTGAGTGTTCACAGATGGTTTTCTTTTTCTTTAGAAATGGCCTTACTCTCTCACCCAGGTTAGCATGCAGTGGCGCAATCACAGCTCACTGCAGCCTCAAACTACTGGGCTCAAGCAATCCTCCTGCTTCAGCCTCCCAAGTAGCTGGGACTACAGGTATGTGCCACCACATTTGGCAAATGTTGTTTTTAAAATTTTATTTTTGTAGAGATGGGGTCTTGCTATGTTGCCCAGGCTGGTACTGAACTCCTGGGCTCAAGCAATACTCCTGCCTCAGCTTCCCAAAATGCTGGGATTACAGGTATGCACTGTGCCTGGCCACAGTTTACAAAATAAATGAAGAGGTCAGGAAATAGAAAGATGAAAATCATACATAAGTCTTCCTTCAGTCATGGGGAAATACGTCACATGTGTGCACATATTTTCCCAGATCCTAAGAAGCAGCACTATGATCTAACAATCAGAAACAGGGTAAAAGAGATCCTAGAGGTACAATAAAAAGGTACAAAGCTCACAGGATATTAATTTAAAGTCATGTTCTTTGGCTCTTCCCCTCTGTAAAGGGCCACACCTTGAAAACTGAGGTGACCACAGTAACACTATGGCACACAGCTACCTTGTTAATACGTCTCTCTCACATGGGGCAGGTTAAATAGCTGTCACTTAATTCTTCTATACAATATGGGCACTATTCATTGAAGCTATTTTTAATTCTTAACACATGCATTCTTAAAAAGCCATACCCACTAGCTTAGTATTTTCACTTAAAGGAATAAATCCTGAGGAAATAAGAGATGTGCAGGTATATTTATATGCACATCTTATTTATTTATTTTTTTTTTTGAGACGGAGTTCCGCTCTTGTTACCCAGGCTGGAGTGCAATGGCGTGATTTCGGCTCACCACAACCTTCGCCTCCTGGGTTCAGGCAATTTTCTTGCCTCAGCCTCCTGAGTAGCTGGGATTACAGGCACGTGCCATCATGCCCAGCTAATTTTTTGTATTTTTTTAGTAGAGACAGGGTTTCACCAGGTTGACCAGGATGGTCTCGATCTCTTGACCTCGTGATCCACCTGCCTCGGCCTCCCAAAGTGCTGGGATTACAGGCTTGAGCCACCACGCCCGGCCTGCACATCTTATTATGTGCATATAAATGTTCATAATATTACTATTTTATTCCCCTATGTTGACACTTGGGTTATTTTTCACTAGTATAAACAGTAATATGATTTATACTAGTGAATGAACTATGTTCATCATATTACTATTTATACTAGTGAAAAATAACCCAAGTGTCAACATAGGGGAATAATCACATTACGGGTCATTCATAAACTGGAATGGTATATAGCCATTAATGGCATGGAAAAGTGCTCATAATATGATGGCATGTAGAACTGACAAAAAATTGTGTAAGATGAGTATGACTCACCCTACAATGCATGTGTAGAAAAAAGGAAAATGCTGGTGTCTATCTCTGAAGGATGGGAATTTAAGTGACCTATTTTCTTTATACTTTTCTGTTCTTTCCAAACACATTATGTTATGTACATGCCACTTTGTGATTAAACAAAAAAAAAGTTCAATGTAGTTTAAGAAAGATTTCATACAAGGTAAGATTTAAGTTTTTCAAGAAAGGCCAGGCATGCTGGCTCATGCCTGTAATCCCAGCACTTTGGGAGGCTGAGACGGGCAGATTGCTTGAATTCAGGAGTTTGAAACCAGCCTGGGCAACGTGGCGAAACCCCACCTCTACAAAAAATACAAAAAAATTAGCCTGGGGGTGGTGCTCCTGTAGTCCCAGCTACTTGGGAGAATCTTTTGAGCTTGGGAAATGACCTTGTCTTGGAAAAAAACAAGTTTTCCAAGAAGCTACAATTGATATAGAATGCTTCTGCCTGATAAAGCCACTGGTCCTACTGGAAACAGAATGCATTTGTTCTCTAGTATCAATTTCCTTTCCAGAGCAATGTGAGATGACAGAAGCAACACCTCCTACACAAACCTCCCAATTTTTAAGTTTCATCGTAGCAGATGAAACAACAGATTTTCTGTGCTCAGTCCCCAAATTTGATGACAAGAGGCCAAATATTTCCTCCCCAGAGTCAAATTTCTTACAATTCACCAAAGTCAAGGTTTGAGAATCAGCACAACTGAGTGTAAGATATTACAATCTGGCAAGGTATGTTGCCAATTGTCTTCATTTCAAATACCATATGGAGAAAGTGCCAAATATGTGTGAATCCAAGTGACCTTGGTACCTTACAATGAGCACTGTGTCAGTTAAGCCCAAGAACGTTATTTAAATCCGTATATAGGTCACTCAGCATACAAACTACCTACACAGGTAACAATCTACATACATTTCTAACTCAAGCCAAGGAAACAGACGAGACTATATACACATACATATATACAAATATATTTCAATATAACCCTTCAGCATACTTAGACAAAGTATCATCTCCTCAATGTCATCGTTTTTATGCAAAGAGGAATACACTTCATTTTACGTGCAGTGACAAATTTAAATATGTATGGTATTACATAATGCAGTAATGACCACGAGAAAACATAAAACTTGCTAAGCAATTAAAGCTAGTACCTTGAACACATCTGAAGTGGCTATTTATAGGAATGATATCTTGAACATGCTGTGCCTTTTCATGCAACTGGATTATTAACCTAGGAAACAGAAGAACGCATCAAAGAATAGCCACTGAAAAACTCATTTAGCAACAAAATACTTTGCTGTCTTGTTATACAAATCTAGTCTGTATTTATTAGACTTGCTGCATCTAGTTCCCTGGATCTGGGCATCAGAACAGCTAAATATTACTTGAGGCTTAAAAGGATGCTAGTGGTGATCAATATCTGAATACCCACACTGTTCTCCATGCCATACATCCTAAAAACAGCGTACAAGTTAAAGAGCATGAATTACAGAGTCTATAGCTTCAGAGTATGCATACCAGAGTGAATAAATGACAGCTAGATGTGAAGTCCATGAGGGCAGAGACCACAGCTGTTTTTACACCATGGAATTTTTAGTACCTAGCATGGAGCCTGGCACACAGCAGTTGCTCATGTGTGTGGAATCAATGAATTAGAAAATTTATAAATTGGCCGGGCGCGGTGGCTCAAGCCTGTAATCGCAGCACTTTGGGAGGCCGAGGCGGGTGGATCATGAGGTCAAGAGATCGAGACCATCCTGGTCAACATGGTGAAACCCCGTCTCTACTAAAAATACAAAAAATTAGCTGGGCATGGTGGCGCGTGCCTGTAATCCCAGCTACTCAGGAGGCTGAGGCAGGAGAATTGCTTGAACCCAGGAGGTGGAGGTTACGGTGAGCCGAGATCGCGCCATTGCACTCCAGCCTGGGTAAGAAGAGCGAAACTCCGTCTCAAAAAAAAAAAAAAAAAAAGAAAATTTATAAATTAACTTTCCAATTATATTCCCATGGCTTTTTACCAAAGAATGGTTCAATCTCTTCAAACAAGCATGCAGATTCATAAAGGAGTAAGAGGGGGTACCCAGCCAGCTGGATCAGCCAAAGTATCAGTGACCAACAAGGTGCCAGATATCACAACCAGACTGCCTTCACATCCCTTGTGTTTTTCCTCTGGTTTCCAAGTTTATGCTGGTATTTCTACATAAACACGAGTAAACCTGGCTCCCCAGTATGAAATCCATACTTCTAAATCCATATGTACTTCTGAAATATTAATTTTTCATTTATTATTTATCCTTAATGGCCCAGAATCAAGGTACAACCTATTGGTAAACAACTATTCTGAACGTCAACTAGCATTCCCAAAGTCAAACACTCTTCAGGTGTTGTTTTTAGTTTTGTTTTTGCCAGGAACACTCTGTTTCTTTCCAAGTTTCATCTCAAATAACACCTCCTCCATGAAGCCTTCCTCAATACTCCCAAGCAAAACCAGCAGCCTTACTGCCTTTGTTTGCCCCTCTAACAGAGAACTTATACACTCCATATGGTTATATTTATTTCTCCTTACTGATTTGAGCTCCTTGAAAGCAAGGACCATATCATATTGTTTTGTCTGGAGCCTAAAAGATGCTCCACAAATACTGGTTGAATACATTACGTAGCTTAATTACGCCATAAGCAGAGGTGAATTTCAAATGTAACTGTTTAGCTTCGGACATTAAAATGTCATTGCTTTGAAGGGTTTTATTTCTGTTTTATTGTCTTTTTTGGGGTGCTTGTCGTTTTTGCTTTTTGCATTTTCAAATGTGTTAACTTTGAAGAGGATAACCTGGGATAAGTAATTACTTAGATAGAACTAAGGGAAATAAGGCCGGGCGCGGTGGCTCAAGCCTGTAATCCCAGCACTTTGGGAGGCCGAGGCGGGTGGATCACGAGGTCAAGAGATCGAGACCATCCTGGTCAACATGGTGAAACCCCGTCTCTACCAAAAATACAAAAAATTAGCTGGGCATGGTGGCACGTGCCTGTAATTCCAGCTACTCAGGAGGCTGAGGCAGGAGAATTGCCCGAACCCAGGAGGCGGAGGTTGCGGTGAGCCGAGATCACGCCATTGCACTCCAGCCTGGGCAACAAGAGCGAAACTCCGTCTCAGAAAAAAAAAAAAAAAAAAAAAAGAACTAAGGGAAATAAAAGTATTAATGCTATTTTTCTGCTCTGATCCTTCTTGCCTAATTTGCAGGGGTCTGTATTTTAAGATGATTATAGGAATATGGGGCAGGCCCCTTTCTTTCTTTCTTTTTTTTTTTTTTGAGACGGAGTTTCGCTCCTGTTACCCAGGCTGGAGTGCAATGGCGCGATCTCGGCTCACCGCAACCTCCGCCTCCTGGGTTCAGGCAATTCTCCTGTCTCAGCCTCCTGAGTAGCTGGGATTACAGGCACGCGCCACCATGCCCAGCTAACTTTTTGTATTTTTAGTAGAGACGGGGTTTCACCATGTTGACCGGGATGGTCTCGATCTCTTGACCTCGTGATTCACCCGCCTCGGCCTCCCAAAGTGCTGGGATTACAGGCTTGAGCCACCGTGCCCGGCCCTAGGCCCCTTTCAATATGGAAAGTTCATGAGTTGAGTGGAGAGTCCTATAAGCCCAGATGGAAACCAGAAACCAGATAAAAGGCTGAGAAATCAAGGTGTTATGGAGGAAGATCTTACTTTCAGGAAGATAAACACAAATCACAATGAATGCTAAAATATGTAAAGAAGAAAGGGTGTTGAATATTAGCAATAAAGCTTGATCTGGACTGGACTGTTAAAAACCATTATAAAACAGAAATAAACTGAGCATTTAAGTGAATTCCACAACATTTATTGACTATTTACTAAATTAAATAGTGCTAGTCACTAAATTATAACAAAAGAGTGGGGCTAAGAATAAGCATAAATACTCGACCTGAGTTTAATTATTCATTTCAGAATAAAAAGAAAAATAATCGGTATACAGCAAAACAATGGAATTCAGAATTTGGTAGTTGTCAAACATCAAACAGAAAAGAGTGACAAATCCTGACTGCCAACTCTGCCTTATCCCTAGGAAACACTGATTTGTCAAAGGAAGGTTAAAGGTCAAACAGGTTTTGTCATAATCTATTATCCTTGAAAAAAAAATGAATCTTAGTGTTTGATTCCGTTTCCAAAAAAAAAAAACCTGATTTTTAATTGTAATTTTGTTCTTTCAAGTAAATCTCCTATGGTTGAGAATAGGAACCATAGACCTAAAGATTTAAGACAGGGTTAAAGTTAGTTCTAGAACACAAAGGCCAAAAGTAAAAAGTTCTGGACACTCACATCAGAGAAGGCACCAGAGAGATAAGAATATGAGGATTATAAGGCCGGGCACGGTGGCTCAAGCCTGTAATCCCAGCACTTTGGGAGGCCGAGGCGGGTGGATCACGAGGTCAAGAGATCGAGACCATCCTGGTCAATATGGTGAAACCCCGTCTCTACTAAAAATACAAAAAAGTAGCTGGGCGTGGTGGCACATGCCTGTAATCCGAGCTACTCAGGAGGCTGAGGCAGGAGAATTGCCTGAACCCAGGAGGCGGAGGTTGCGGTGAGCCGAGATCGCGCCATTGCACTCCAGCCTGGTGAACAAGAGCGAAACTCCGTCTCAAAAAAAAAAAAAAAAAAAGAATATGAGGATTATAGATGGTATTACAGTATTAGGTATTGCCAGTAAATGATTTCAGGAGGAACTTTTCAGTGTAAATCTGAGACATGTTACATAGGTTCAGATCTCAGGTATTCTACTTCCTAATTGTGAACAAGTGACTTAACCTGTCAGTGCCTCAAATTCTGTATCTACAAAAGGGGGGTGATGATATCACTCTTTTATAGTAATCCTCACATGTGGACTAAATGAACTAATTAATGAAAAGTGCTTAGAACAGTAACTGGCACATAAGCAGCTACTGAGTGTTAGTTAGTTATATACAACAACTATACCCCCATGCCCCCACATTTACCACCAACTATACCCCCATAACTTATACAGAATTGGAACACAAGACTTCCTTATTAGCTCAATAGAATTCCAACTCTGCTATACGAGGGACCAGATCCTGGGCTGTGGTCATCTCAACAATGTAGCCATTCCAGTCAGTCTTCATAATTTTGTTTCTACATTAGAGGAGACCAAGGCACAAAAGTTCTATTGGTTTGCCAAGGTCACACCTCTTTACCCCATTCTAGCCTTTGGAAGTGTTAGTGGTATTTCACTTTTCTGCTGAATTTAGTTTAGTTTCATTAAACTAGTCTTCCAGGGTTTGATGCAATCTGGGTTTGACGAACTTCCCAATAGAGCTGACTAAGCAGGACCCAGTAAAGAGCTACTTCATAGAACTAGTTGACATCCAGTTAGTATGGCACCAATAGCCTCAGTAAAGAGCAGGTCTGGCCAGTGGGAATTTCTTCCTCGTAAATCAGACAGCATAGACATAGAGAATCTAAAAGTGGGGACTGAGAAAATTGGTTTTAGGCAGAACCCAATGTTGGGAGATGGCAAGATTTAAGTGAACAAGCTGTAAACTGGGAAGTAACATGATGTCAAGAAGCCAGTGAATAACCAAGGGAGGTGTCTTGGGCACACAAGGATAGGAGCCTATGATATGTAATGGTCACCATGGATACTTTTGAGATGAGGCATTAGTCACAACAGAGTGAAATTAGCAGCTATGGTGATAGCTTATCAAAATAATCTTTTGATCAATCAGTCAACAGTATTTACTGAGCTCCTATGTCTAAGACAGAGTAGAAGGTGACACACTGATAAAATACCAACTGTCATTTCTGTTTCTACACATTTCATCACCTTTTCTTTCTAACAGTCAAGTCAATAAGTGAGGAAGTTTCTGGCCGACACTAAACCATTAGTGAACTAATGAATATGCCTTCAAGCAAGTGGGATAAGAGGGTGGGGAGACTGGAGAAACCAGCTGAATAGGGTTCGGACAAGTCTGTAATGTTAACAATGATGCGTTTCCATAGCAGTTTTACTTTTTGTAAACCACTCTCGCATTTATTTTTCCCCCAGTTAAAACTCCAAAGGCTTTATAAGGCAAGGCAGTTAATATTTTTATTCAACTGATGAGTTAACTTTGGCCCAGAAAGCTTTATTGACTTGACTGATATTACACAACACATGTCAGTTGCAGGGGCAGGAACTAAAAAGCCAGGCCTCCTGCTTCCCCGCCCATTCAGTCCTTCCACCGAGCCACACTACCAAGCACAATCCAGAGGCTTGGAAGTTGGGGACGAAGCCCCGAGGTTAGAGAGCACTGGCATTTCACACCTGGACCTGAACCTGTTGCCCTCGTGGCCTCAGTACGAGGAGACTGGGTGACCCGTCGCAGTTTGGGGTTGAGAGGTATGGCTCTCCTCCTCTGTGGGAATCAGGTGGTTACTTACTCATATTGCCCGTTCCTCTGTGCTAGGGTCAGGGCGCAGGGCTTCCGGTGAGGACCCTTCATCTCCATACCCTCGACAGTATGCGGGCGCTAGTCAAGGGTCTCCTTTGGAAGCGTGGTGGGGAGGGGTGGTGAGCTGCGGGGCTGACGGGGGGGATCTTCCGCCCCGCCCCCCGGCCGCCCTCCCCCGCCCTGCTGCACCTCCAGCGCCGGTCCCCTCCCCCGCTCTGCTCGGCCTCTGGGCCTCCTGGCAGCCCCGGCCCGCCAAGTTCTGCAGGGCTCCCGACCCCCACCCCCGGCCCTGCGCGGCCTCCCCTCCCCCTTCTCTCCGGCGGATACGGCAAGGGGCTGGGCTCCGACCGGGAGCGGTGGATCCATCCAGGCGGCCTCCGGGCTCAGCCGGACTGCGGACTGCGGGCGGATCCGACGACACTGGCTCCCGCGTCCCCAAACCCACCCGCCTCGGCTGCGTGTCGTTTGAGGAACAGCTCCGCGCCAGGCGCCGGGCGCCGGAGCCGGGAGCCGGGAGCGGGGAGCTGGGAGCTGAGAATCTGACCCGAGAGAGAGCGGCGCCTCGCGCCCCCGCCAGTTTTCCAGGCCGCCGCAGATTCCGCCCCCGGCGGCCAACCTGCGGAACTGCAGCGAGAGACCCGACGGACTGGGGGCTTCTCTACCACGTCCAGCAAGGAATGGGTTCTAAATGCCACCTGTGACATCAGAATTGTTCTGAGGACTTTGAAGATGGCCACAGAAACAAAACACAGCCATACCTATGGGGGAATCTCAAACGTGTTGTGTCCAGTACGACCCACATCATTCAGTATATTTACATGGTCACCTCTAACTAGGCAATGTCCAAATATATATCCCTGGCCCAGACTTCTTACCAAATAGAGTCCATTATTAACACATCATTGTGTGACAAAACTAACTCATTATCATTTCACTTCAAAGCCATATATTTTTTCCCCCTCCTAATCTCTATATCCAATCAGTCAACACACCCTGTTGATATTTTACTTGGAATTGCTTTTAGATTCTTTATTTTCTCTCCATTTAAACTGCCATAACTTTATTGAAGCCCTTGTGATAGCCTATCTAGGTTATTGCATTTTGCTCTAGATAAATCCTGTTGACTTTACTCTCTACTTTGACCTGTTTACTCTGTTGACAGCCATGAAAATATTTTCCCGAAGTAATTTTTGAATTGTGTTATTCATTTGCTCCAGAATCTATAAAAATAAACTAGATATCAAGACTGTAAGTCTATAGTAATTAAAAGTATACTGTGGAGATAGACAACCAGTGAAACAGAATATAAAGCCCCCAAACAGACCCACACATATATGGAAAGTTGATATGCAGTGTGTGTGACATTTCAAATCAGTGGGGAAGAATGGATTAGCCACTAAGTGCCACTAAGACTACTGCTTACCCATATGAAAAATTATAAAATTAGACCCCTCCCTCAGACCATAAAAGAAAAATCAATTCTAGGTGGATAAAAGATCTAAATGTGAGCTGGGCGCGGTGGCTCACGCCTGTAATTCTAGCACTTTGGGAGCCTGAGGTGGGTGGATTACCTGAGGTCAGGAGTTCAAGACCAGCCTGGCCATAATGGTGAAACCCTACCTTTAAAAAATAAAAAATAAAATTTTTTTTAATTTAAAAAAAAAAAGATCTAAATGTGAAAAGCAAAATTATAACTTTCAGAAAAAAACAGTATCTTTATGAGCTTAGAATATGAAATGAGATATTTAATTTTATGTAGCCAAATAAAATAGCTACATAAATAAAATAGCTACAAAGAATAAGATATTTAGCTACATAAAATTTCAAAATATTTGTACCTCAAGGCAATATAAACAAGTTAAAAGACAGACTGGTCTGCACCGTGGTTCATGCCTGTAATCCCAGTACTATGGGAGGCCGAGGCAGGGGGATTACTTGAGCCCTGGAGTTCAAGACCAGCCTGGGCAACATGGCAAAACTGTAGCTCTACAAAAAATATAAAAATTAGCCAGGTTTGGTGGCAAGCGCCTGCAATCCCAACTACTCTAGAGGCTGAGGTGGGAGCCTCCCTTTGAGTCAGGAAGATCATGGCTGTAGTAAGCCGTGATGGCGCCACTGCGCTCCAGCCAGGGTGACAGACCAAGACCTTGTCTCAAAAAACAAACAGGACAAGCTGTCATCACCTTTCTGACTTTTTCTCTTCCCATCATTTCCCACCACTCTCTCTAGCTTTGCTTAGTCACACTGACTCCTTGCTGTTCCTAGGACTTCCCAGGCACACTCTTGCCTCAGAGCCTTTGCACCTGCTGTTCACTCTGCCTGCACTCTCACCTCCCTCAGGTCTTTGATCAAATGTTACTTTCTCACGGAAGCCTTCCTAGACCACTTTATTGAAAATCGTAATTCAACGATCCCCTTCTTCATTGTTATACATACATGTTCCCTATCCCTCTTCCCTGCTTATGTATCACTCTCCACCATTTCTGTTTTATTTATCCATATTATTGATCATTTACCTTCACCCACTAGAATGTTGAGTTCCATGAGTGCAAGGATTTTTTGTCTGTTTTGCTCATAGCTGCATTCTCAGTGCTTAGAACCATTCTTGGAGCAAAGTAGATGCTAGAAAAATATTGATTAAATGAATGAATGACTTAGTATCCAGGATATATAAGAACTCCTATAAATAAGAAATAAAGAAATCTAATAGAAAAATTGACAAAATATGTGAGTAAGTAATTCATAGTCAAGGAAATCCAGATGGCCAATAAAGATATGAAAGGATGCCTAACTTTATTACTATTCAGGGAAATTGAAAAGTAAAACCATGAAATACCATTTCACAACCATCAGTTTTATGAAAATTTAAAAAATCAGACAACCCCAGTGTTGTTGAGGTTCTAGCAGTAGAACTCTGATTTATGGCTAGAAGGAGTTTAAGTTGGTAGAACTGCTGTGAAGAACAATTTGATGATATCTAATAAAGGTAATACCCCTCAATCTAGAAATTCTATTTCTAGGTATAGACACTGGCAAAACTCTACCAGTGTAGAGACATATAAAATAATGTTACTTGCAGTATTATTTGTAATCTCAGACAATGAAAGCTGAGTAAATGTCAGCAGGTGGATGAATAAATAATAGTGTTCTTGATGAGTGAATCTGAGCTACGGTTAGTTACAGGTAAATTTCAAAAACATAATAATGTTGAGCAAAAAGCAAATTGCAAAACAGGTATAGTATACTCTGTATATAAAGTCTGAAAATATCATCTATTGCTTATGGCTACATAGATGAGTAGTACTGTAATAGTATGTAAAACGTGAAAGGGCATGATCACCAAATTAAGGGAGGGAGAAGATTGACACTGGGGAGGGGCATATGGAGAATATCAAATATATCTGTAATATTTATTTCTGAAAACAGAATCTGAAAAGTGATGTTGCAAAATTTGATAGAACTGGGTGGTGGGTACATATGTTGGTCCTGTAATTCCATCTACTTTCCTGCACTGAAAATCATTTGCAGTGAATGAAAATGAGAGATAAAGAAGGAATATGCAGGGGAGGGTTAGCAGTATCGAATGCTGAAAATAGGACAAGAAAATGAGGACCAAAGAAACTTTCTTTGGATGTGTCAAGGAGTTCACTGGAGACCAATAATTGTTTGGTTTCATTAAGTGGTGAGGATGGAAACAAGATTATGGGGAATTGAGGAGAGGCTATATTGTGAGAAAATGGAGACAAGACACCACAGATTGAAGAGGTTTGGAAATAAAAAGGAGCAGAGTACAATTTTAATTAAATTAGTTAGAAGGGTCAGAGGTTGCAGACAAAGTCTGAAGCCACTTTAAAGCAAAGAGGAAGGAACCAACAAAGAGGAGGACTTTTTTTTTTTTTTTTTTTTGAGACGGAGTTTCGCTCTTGTTACCCAGGCTGGAGTGCAATGGCGCGATCTCGGCTCACCGCAACCTCCGCCTCCTGGATTCTGGCAATTCTCCTGCCTCAGCCTCCTGAGTAGCTGGGATTACAGGCACGCACCACCATGCCCAGCTAATTTTTTGTATTTTTAGTAGAGATGGGGTTTCACCATGTTGACCAGGATGGTCTCGATCTCTTGACCTTGTGATCCACCGGCCTCGGCCTCCCAAAGTGCTGGGATTACAGGCTTGAGCCACCGCGCCCGGCCATATAATTCTTATGAAGAAGAAATCACCACCATGTAAATTAAATTAGTTACACACAAACAAATAATTTCAAAAGCAAAATAACCAAAGCATTTTCAAAATTGATAGTGAAAATACAAATGTTTAATGCAGGATGTGGATGCATTTTAATATGTTTATTATGATGCTGGCTAAAACCTCCACAAGTGACAGTGTTTAGGGCCTGCAAAGGCGAAAACAGGCCTGCCTAACATAGATGAGGCTGGGAAGGGAGATTTTGCATAGGTGAGTCAGCAGCCAGAGGCTGGAAGGCAGGCCCAGTGGAGGCATAAATGATTCATTGATTTTTAAATCAACACTAGTTGAAAAACCTCCCTTTCCATATACACAAATCCGCTATGGGTATGACTTTCCATACAGAGCAACATAAAGCGTTCATTTTTGTTTACATATTTCTGTTTTGCATTTCTACAGTATTTATGTCTATTTTCATTTCTTACAGAGTTTAGGGTGAGAAAGGCTCATTACTTGGGGCCACAGTCTATCACCTACACTCTTGATGAGATGGTGACAGGCACAGCAAGCAGGAGAAACTGGCTTCCTTTGGCACACAATGCCCTCCAGGCCTTTCTTTCCCTTTAAATCCCACTTTCCCTTTGCTACTTTATTCCTATCCTGGCTAGTTTCTTAATTCTCTTCATTCTTCACCCCTATCTCATTCTCCAAGGCTAAGCTCTCGTTTCTGCTTAGTGAATCCCAGAGGCAGGTTGGCATTGCCCAGGCCTGCTTGCCTCTTCCTCTCAGAAATTAGAGATGCTGAAATGAAAGAATATGGCGTCAGCCTGGCATTAAACCTCCAAGGATCTGTCCTGAATGCGTCATTCCAGAGTTATCTCCCAAGAAAACTCTTTATAAACTTTATGCTCTGCTCATCATTTCCCTTCAGATTTGAACATGTGCAGCAGTTGGTGGCAATCAAATGGATGTCCGTGCCTCAAATACTCAGTCGATCATCTAGCTGAACACTGCTAGCATGCCATCTTGGTCTTGACCTTTATAGAGTGTTAAATTATAAAATATGATCCATAAGCTGTTTAATATATATCCATAAAGCATCAACGAGATGCTAATGTTGAAATGCAGAGCATAAAAATGATTACAATTCCAAAAATTCCCAAGATGGCACTCATCAGACCCATAAGCTGCATTTATCTGATCAAAATTCTTATATAGCTCATAAAAATTTCTCAAGCACTCCAGAAATCC